CTCGATGGGTAGGACTCGAACCCATGGCTTCAAGTTACAAGAAAGCAGATTCCGACCAAACATTCAGGGGGAAACTTTCTGACAGTAAGAGCTGTTTGACCGTGGAATGGTCTCTTTTGGGAGGTTGTGGACTCTCTTTCCTTGGAGGATTTTAAGCAGAGGTTGGGTGACCACCTGCCAATGATTCTTTGGCCGTGATCCCTGCGATTGCAGGCGGGTTGGGCTAGATGACCCTCGGGACCCTCCCACAACTCCAAAGTAAATGCAATTATTTACACCTTGGCGTCAGCTCAGGTTTGATACTGCAATTGTTCAGTGGCTTGTTAGAGTACCATTTCTATTTACTGTTGCTGTGTAATGGAATACAGATTTACTGAATGAATAAGGAGGCCAGGATGCTGAGAATACGTAGCAAACTTTCCCCTCTCACAGGGTGGAAAAAAGAGAGCTCCTCTTGCAGATCTTAAATAGAGACCTCAGACTGAAGAGGCAGGAGAGGAAGCGCTGGGTGATAAATCAAAGAGGGAGTATAATTCAAGCTTGAAATGTTTGACTCAGCATCAGGGAGGGTCATCTCTTTCTGCAAGCCTAAAAATGAAGGAAAAGAGCTTTGAAGAAGCAAAGGACCAGCCCTTACGATGAGGAAGTTGGGGCAGCAATTCTTTCAAAGTAATTAAGTTGCTTTAAACCTGCGCAAAGGACTAGCTTCTTTTAATAATAATAGTAATAAAGCCAGCAGTGATTTTTTTTTAAAAAGCAAAACCAGCTTTGCAAATGGCAAGGGACTAAGGGGAGGATGCAGCCAGAACCTCCAGGTTTCCATACAAAAAAATAGCTTCCTGTGTGGTCTAATTTATTTATTACAGTCGTATTCCATATTTTTCTCCAAGGAGCTCAAGGCATGGAAGACGAAGAGCAGACTCCATTTGAGGATCTCTCCCTCATTACAGTCGATCAGGTATATGAAGACGAGCAGCAAAGTCAGTCCTCAGGGAATGTGCAGGCGACCTTGGAGCGGACAGCTCACAGAAGAACCCTGGCCATACCTAAGAGGAGGCGTGTAGTGGTGATAGGGGCTTCCCTCCTGAGGGGAACAGACGCAGTGATCTGTGGGCCTGACAAGATGTCTCGGGAAGTGTGCTGTCTCCCCGGGGCTAAGATCCAAGATGTAACTGAACGACTGCAAGGAATCATAAAACCCACTGACAAATACCCCTTCCTCTTGGTTCATGTGGGAACCAATGACACTGCAAGCAATAGCCTCCAGAAGATCAAAGAGACTACGAGGCTCTGGGCAGGAAATTGAAGCAATTAAATGCACAAATTGTGATCTCATCTGTCCTCCCAGTTGAGCAGACGTGGCCCAGGGAGAGAGGGAAAATAGTGGAAGTGAACAGCTGGCTTCGCAAATGGTGTAAACAGGAACGGTTTGGATTCTTAGATCACGGACTGCAGTTTCTTGAAGATGGACTTCTGGCAAGCGATGGGCTGCACCTCACAACGGTTGGGAGAAATGTTTTTGCCAAAAATCTCAGAAACCTCATCAGGAGGGCTTTAAACTGACTAATGTGGGGAGGGAGATAGTGCTCCTGAAGGTAGGAGTCTATCAATTGATGAAGATGATCATCCAAATGTCATAGACCAAATGGAGCAAACAGCACACAGACCTAGTGGTGGGAGGAAAAAATCCTTAAATAAGAGTCACGGGGAAATGATTAATGGACTTCAATGTCTGTACACTAATGCGCAAAGCATGGAAATAAACAAGATGAGCTTGAGCTCTTGGTACAGCAAACTAAATATGACATAATAGGCATCACTGAAACCTGGTGGGATAAGTCCCACGATTGGAATGTAATAATGGGGGATACAATCTATTTCAGAGAAACAGACCAGACAAGAAAGGAGGAGGAGTGGCGTTATATGTCAGGGATGTGTATACCTGTGAAGAGATCCAAGATTTAGAACCTCAAAGCCAAAGTGAGAGCATTTGGGTCAAAATTAAGGGAGAGAAGAATAACAGTGACCTCATTGTGGGAGTTTACTATAGATCCCCAAGCCAAACGGAGGACATAGATGATGCCTTCCTGGAACAGATGGCCAAGCATGCAAAAGGAAGGGAGATAGTAGTAATGGGGGACTTCAATTACCCGGATATTTGTTGGATGTCAAACTCAGCCAAGAGCATAAGGTCAAACAGATTCCTCACTGGCCTTGCAGACAACTTCATTGTCCAGAAAGTGGGAGAAGCAACAAGAGGAACAGCCATTTTAGATCTGGTCCTAACCAATGTTGATGACCTGGTTAGTGGGGTAGAAGTGGAAGGATCATTAGGCGCAAGTGATCATGCTCTTCTGAAGTTTACTATACAGCGGAAAGGAGCAGCCAAGCATACTAGGACTCAATTTCTTGACTTTAAGAAAGCTGACTTCATAAAACTTAGGGAAGTGCTGGGTGAGATCCCATGGACAGTAATACTAAAAGGAAAGGGAGTTCATGATGGCTGGGAGTTTGTTAAGAGGAGATACTAAAAGCACAACGTCATGCAATACCAATGAGACGGAAACATGGAAGGTGCCTAAAGAAGCCAGGGTGGCTATCTAAAGAACTTTTAACTGAGTTAAGATTAAAAAAGGATGTGTACAAAAATGGAAAAGGGAAACCACCAAGAGGAATTCAAACAAATAGCCAGCACGTGTAGACACAAAGTCAGAAAAGCTAAAGCACAGAATGAACTCAGGCTTGCTAGAGAGGTTAAAAGCAACAAAAAAGGCTTTTATGGGTATGTCCGTAGCAAAAGGAAGAACAAAGAAACAGTGGGGTCACTCAGAGGAGAAGATGGTGAAATGCAAACAGGGGACACAGAAAGAGCTGAACTCCTCAATGCCTTCTTTGCCTCAGTCTTCTCCGATAAAGAAAACAATGCCCGACCTGAAGAATTTGGAGCAAATGATTCAGCAAAGGAAACACAGCCCAGAATAACTAAGGAGATAGTACAAGAATACTTGGCTAGTTTAGATGTATTCAAGTCTCCAGGGCCAGATGAACTGCATCCAAGAGTATTAAAAGAACTGGCAGATGTGATCTCAGAACCACTGGCAGTCATCTTTGAGAATTCCTGGAGAACAGGCGAAGTCCCGGCAGACTGGAGGAGGGCAAATGTTGTCCCTATTTTCAAAAAGGGAAAAGAGAGGACCCAAATAATTACCGCCCAGTCAGTCTGACATCAATACCAGGGAAGATTCTGGAGCAGATCATTAAGCAAACAGTCTGTGAGCACCTAGAAAGGAATGCTGTGATCACCAATAGTCAGCATGGATTTCTGAAAAATAAGTCATGTCAGACTAACCTGATCTCGTTTTTGACAGAATTACAAGCCTGGTGGATGAAGGGAACGCAGTGGATGCTAGCCTACCTTGATTTCAGCAAGGCATTTGACAAGGTGCCTCATGATATTCTTGTAAAGAAGCTGGTAAAATGTGGTCTTGACTATGCTACCACTCAGTGGATTTGTAACTGGCTGACTGACCGAACCCAAAGGGTGCTCATCAATGGTTCCTCTTCATCCTGGAGAAGAGTGACTAGTGGGGTGCCACTGGTTTCTGTCTTGGGCCGGTTCTTATTCAACATCTTTATCAACGACTTGGGTGATGGACTCAAGGGCATCCTGATCAAATTTGCAGATGACACCAAATTGGGAGGGGTGGCTAACACCCCAGAGGACAGGATCACACTTCAAAACGACCTTGACAGATTAGAGAACTGGGCCAAAACAAACAAGATGAATTTTAACAGGGAGAAATGTAAAGTATTGCACTTGGGCAAAAAAAATGAGAGGCACAAATACAAGATGGGGGACACCTGGCTTGAGAGCAGTACATGTGAAAAGGATCTAGGAGTCTTGGTTGACCACAAACTTGACATGAGCCAACAGTGTGACGCGGCAGCTAAAAAGCCAATGCAATTCTGGGCTGCATCAATAGGAGTATAGCATCTAGATCAAGGGAAGTAATAGTGCCACTGTATTCTGCTCTGGTCAGACCTCACCTGGTGATGTATAATTAATAATAATAATAATAATAATAATAATAATAATTTATTATTTATACCCCGCCCATCTGGTTGAGTTTCCCCAGCCACTCTGGCGGCTTCCAATCAAGTGTTAAAAACAATACAGCATTAAATATTAAAAACTTCCCTAAACAGGGCTGCCTTCAGATGTCTTTTAAAGAGAAGATAGCTGCTTATTTCCTTCACATCTGGAGGGAGGGTATTCCACAGGGCAGGCGCCACCACCGAGAAGGCCCTCTGCCTGGTTCCCTGTAACCTCACTTCTCACAGCGAGGGAACCACCAGAAGGCCCTCAGCGTTGGACCTCAGTGTTTGGGCTGAACGATGGATGGGGGTGGAGACGCTCCTTCAGGTATACTGGGCCGAGGCCGTTTAGGGCTTTAAAGGTCAGCACCAACACTTTGAATTGTGCTCAGAAACATACTGGGAGCCAATGTAGGTCTTTCAGGACCGGTGTTATGTGGTCTCGGCGGCCGCTCCCAGTCACCAGTCTAGCTGCCGCATTCTGGATTAATTGCAGTTTCCAGGTCACCTTCAAAGGTAGCCCCACGTAGAGCACATTGCAGTAGCCCAAGCAGGAGATAACCAGAGCATGCACCACTCTGGGGAGACAGTCCGCGGGCAGGGAGGGTCTCATCCTGCGTACCAGATGGAGCTGGTAGACAGCTGCCCTGGACAAAGAATTGACCTGCGCCTCCATGGACAGCTGCGAGTCCAGAATGACTCCCAGGCTGCGCACCTGGTCCTTCAGGGGCACAGTTACCCCATTCAGGACCAGGGAGTCCTCCACACCTGCCCGCCTCCTTTCCCCCAAAAACAGTACTTCTGTCTTGTCAGGATTCAACCTCAATCTGTTAGCCGCCATCCATCCTCCAAATGGGCTCTGGTTCCAAATTTCGGGGGCAACTGCTGCCACCTGCCATCCCCCCTTACCTGTCATTCTGGTAGACATCCATGCAGCTGTTCAACTCCTCCAATTCCTCCTTCAGCAGCTGCAGGTTGGAGTTGACGTAACTGAGTTCTAAGGCAACCGTTTCCTTTACTTTGTGATTATTGGTGGCCCTAAAAAAACAGGGGAGGGAGAAAATGCCACCTTATTCATCCCACTTGTTTCACACCTATCAGCAAAGGGGCTAACCTTGCAGAGCTGCTTCCTATTACTTTTATTATTATTAATGATTTATTATCCGCCTTCCACCTTAAGGTCCCAATAAGGGTTACAGCATTAAAAGCAACTTAAAGCAACTTGCAGCCCTAACAATAAGGTGTCCTAAAAACTTGAACTTCAGGTGCCAAAGGCCAGGATAAAGAGGTGCATCCTCAGCGTTCACCAAAAGCTGTGCACCACAGAGGGGCCACCACAGAGAAGGCCCCGTCTCTCTGAGATGCCACCACCCCAAAGTCTCTGAGGGCAGAGGAGCTACCATTCACCAAAAGCTGCGTAGCACAGAGGGGCCACCACAGAGAAGGCCCCGTCTCTCTGCCAATCTCGGCACCCAAGAGGATCTGTAAGAGGGAGTCTTTCAGATATTTGGGGCCCAAGTCATTTAGGGCTTCAAACACCAATGTGAGCACTTTGAACTGGGCCCGGAAGCAAGCCGGCGACCAGAGCAGCTGTTTTAAAACAGGGGTTGCGCGAGATCTACTAGAAGAGAACCCCAGTTGATAATCTGCCTGCTGCATTTTGGAGCAACTCAATTTTCCGAGTTGCCTCCAAGGGCAGCCCCACAGAGACCGTGTTGTAGTAATCTAACCTGGAGAGCACAGAGTACACACACTCTTTTGCCCACTACACTGCCCCGGGCATTCACACATTACAGTATACGCAGAAAAGGAAATTTGACTCGCTTTTTCCATACAAAGGGTGGCAAACATATACCATCAGCCTTAGAAGTCTCCCAAACTAAACCCCAAGCACAGCTACTATACGGGGCTCAGATTTGGACCTTAGCACTTTGGAAGCTGTTCAATCAAAGTTTCTAAGGCAGATTTTTTCTCTACCGCCATGCGTCTCAAATGCATCGTTGAGACTGGACGTAAGTCTCCCTTCAGTAGAAGTACGGACTTGGCAAAGAACTCTTAACTTCTGGCTCCGCCTAAACTCAAAGCCCCCCGGTTTACTATCCCTAGTACTTTAAGACTCCCATAAAAGTGCCTGGCTTAAAACCGTCTATCAAAAACTTCACTCTTGTGGCCTATCCCCACAACACCTACTCACTATGGGCCCCACTAAAGCAAACTCCCTGCTTATTTAACTTATATGCAGAATTCATCATGCAAAATGCTGGGCTGGATGAATCCCTAGCTGGAATTAAGATTGCCGGAAGAAATATCAACAACCTCAGATATGCAGATGACACAACCTTGATGGCAGAAAGTGAGGAGGAATTAAAGAACCTTTTAATGAGGGTGAAAGAGGTGAGCGCAAAATATGATCTGAAGCTCAATATCAAAAAAACGAAGATCATGGCCACTGGTCCCATCACCTCCTGGCAAATAGAAGGGGAAGAAATGGAGGCAGTGAGAGATTTTACTTTCTTGGGCTCCATGATCACTGCAGATGGTGACAGCAGCCACAAAATTAAAAGACGCCTGCTTCTTGGGAGAAAAGCAATGACAAACCTTCCGGGTTGGCGCCATCGGTAATGGCGGATTCCCTCTGAGTTTCTGAGGGACCAGCTCCGCAGGATTGGGTCTGACCGCTGCGGCGAAGCGGGAGCCCTCTAAAAATCACAGGCGGGTGAAGCCTGTGAACGTGGGGACTCGGCGGGCACCTTTTGCGCCCCCCCAAACTGCAAAGGGACCCTTTTATGGGCTCCGGAGCGAGACGGGGTGAGCGGCGCGGTGCTGAGAGTCGACTGCTTCTTCCGCGGAGTGAAGCCGCACAGCCGTTATCGGAGAGCGCTGACTTTTTCCTGGGACAATTTGACTTCGAAAGCAACTACCCGTGAGTAGGATAAAATTGGATTTAAAGGGGAAAATAACTTAATTCGGCACCAAAGCGGGAAGGCATAAACAGGAAGTCCGCCTTCCTTTCTTGTAAACAGATCAAAGCAAAGAGACTGAAAGCGGAAACTTTGAAAGACGTTTGAAAAAAGACTTAAATCCTAACATCAGAAAAGCGATCTCCCCTCCGGATTGCAGGAGAGGAGGGGGGAAAGGTTTGAACTGTATTTATCTGCATAAAAAAGAGGGAAAGGAAGCTAAAATCCACCGCTTAGAACCTGGGAACGGACTGCCCTGAGACAAGGAATGCCGCTCTGTGAAAAGCACTATCGGTAAACAGAGTACTTTTGACAGCTAACTCTGCAAGAGAGATACAGTGTTTCTGGACTTCTCCTGGCTTTAAAGTAACTGATTAAGTGCAATTGAAACTGTTGTTTTTTTGTGAATTGGGGGATTTATAAGGACTACTTTTTTAAAAAAAAATGTTGCAAGCTTTGACTGTTACTGTGTCCCCCTAGAGGAGGTTTGACATTGCTACAATAACAACTGGGCTAGGGGAATTTTCCATTTCAAAACCAATTCTAGCCGTGGGATTGACCTTGGACTTCTATGAGAGTGTTATGGCAGATGGAAGAGGAAAGTTAGAGTTGATTCAGGAAAAAACTACCAGGTCTGGCAGACCCTATCGGACAGATACTGGGTCGCAGCGAAGAGCTTCAACATCTGGTCCTTCTGGACCATCTGGATTATCAGGGGCTGCACCCCCACAAGTTAAACCAAAAGGAATGTCGTCTGAAGACGTTTTGGCTCTGGCACTAGGAAAAATTAATGAATCTTTGGAAAATTTAACCAAACAAGTAGCTGGAACAAATAAACAAGTAGCCGAAGCATCAGTTAAAATTGACCAAAATACTACAAGTATTAATAATTTGGGACAGAAGGTGAATACCAATACAGAGACTATTGAGAAATTGTTACAGGAATCTGCTTTGACCCGAAAGACAGCCGAAGAAGCAAAAGACATAGCAACTGCTACTCAAGAGAAGATACCACCGATATATAGGCAACTCGAGGACCACGGTTTGACGTTGTCTATGATTGAATTGAAGGAGAAACAAAGAAATTTGAGAATCAGGGCTGTACCTGATTCTTGAGAAAGATAACTTGACTGACTTTCTTACGCAGGAATTTGCAGACTTCTGGCAACAGGATTTGAGGAAGGAAGAATTTAAGATAGTGAGTGCATTTAGACTTGGAAGAGGAGGAAGGAAGAACAAGGTGAGAGACTGTTTGATTACCCTTCGAACAAAAGAGGAGAGAGACAAAATCTTGAATCTGCATTACCAAAAGACTCTGGAAATATATGAGTCAAGTGTGGAGATATTTAAGGACATTCCAAAACATCTTTTGGACTTAAGGCTTAATTACGGAGATTTGGTTGCCCTTCTGAGAAGTAATAGAATCATCTTTAGGTGGGAATTCCCTCAAGGCCTGCCCTTTAAATATAAAGGAAGAAAGATAAAAATAAGATCAGTCAATGACAAAGATAGATTCTTGAAAGACCACGGAGAAGATCTACAGAAAGAAGTGGAATCTGGAGAAGAGCCAAAAGCACTGGAAAGAGGAATACTAGATATAGCAAACTTATCTTTTGGATTGCATGGTTCAGAGAAAGTGACACCACCGACAGAACAAGAACAAACACTTGGCGCAGTTGGAGGTAAAGCGAAGTAACCCCATCATGGCTCTGCAACTATTAAGTTGGAATTGTAATGGCCTCAACTCTCCTCGGAAAAGGAAAAGTGTTCTTCATTTATTAAAAAAGGAACAATTGGACCTGATTTGTCTACAGGAAACACACGTGATAAGGCTACATAGGAAAGTATTGATTAACAAGAGATTGGGACAGGAGTTTATTTCATCTGACAAAGTTAAAAAAAGAGGAGTAGTGATTTATGCTAAGGAGAGACTATCACCGAAATTCATTTTTAAAGACGATCAAGGAAGATTTGTGGCAATTGAAATTCAAGTTCAAGGAGAGAAATTTTTGATAGTAGGAATTTATGCACCGAATGAGGGGAAATCTGAATTCTTTAAAAAGTTGCATGAGACCTTAATGGACTATAGTGGTGCCCCGCAAGACGAATGCCTCGCAAGACGGAAAACCCGCTAGACGAAAGGGTTTTCCGTTTTGGAGGTGCTTCGCAAAACGAATTTCCTATGTGCTTGCTTCGCAAGACGAAAATGTCTTGCGAGTTCCTGCAGGGTTTTTTTCCTTCCCCCCCCCTTTTTCCCAAGCCGCTAAACCGCTTATCAGCTGATGGCTAAGCCGCTTATCAGCTGATCTTTAAGCCGTTTAACAGCTGATGCTAAGCTGCTTATCAACTGATCTTTAAGCCGCTTAACAGCTGGTGCTAAGCCGCTTATCAGCTGATCTTTAAGCCGCTTAACAGCTGATGCTAAGCCGCTTATCAGCTGATCTTTAAGCCGCTTAACAGCTGATGCTAAGCCGCTTATCAGCTGATCTTTAAGCCGGCTAAGCCGCTAATACTGTAGCGCTAAGCCGCTAAACCTCTAATGGGCTTGCTTCGCAAGACGAAAAAACCCGCAAGACGAAGAGACTTGCGGAACGGATTCTTTTCGTCTTGTGAGGCACCACTGTATTTGGATTACAATCTGATCTTGATGGGGGACATGAATGGAGTAGTATCTACAAACATGGACAAGGCACAAAGACAGGTAGTTACCAAGGATGGTAGACTACCGAAAACATTTTTCGAGATGACAGACAACTTGGACTTAATCGATACTTGGAGAACAAAGAATCCCTTGGGAAGAGAGGGAACCTTCTTTTCTGAAGCCAAGATGACATGGACTAGAATTGACCAAATATGGGTAACTAGAGGAATGGCACCAAAGATAAAGAAAGTGGAAATTTGTCCAAAAACCTGCTCCGACCACAATGCTGTAAGGATGGAGATGAAACTAATATCAACTGGCTCCTTCAGATGGAGGATGAATGACACCTTATTCAGAGATGAAGAAGTGTATAAAAAGGCCCAAAAAACCTTGAGAGACTATTTTGAGATAAATATGAACACTAATGTTGAAAAAAGAGTAATCTGGGACGCAAGCAAAGCGGTCATGAGAGGGTTTCTGATACAACAGAATGCAATAAAGAAGAGAAGCCAAAATGAGAAGAAAGATAAAATTTTGGAGAAAATAAAAGAAAGTGAGAAGAAATTGAGAGCAAAACCAAAGTCACAGGAGATTTTGAGAGAAATAAAGTTATATCAAGTACAATATATGGAAATGATGAATCAGGAAATAGAATGGAAAATTAAACAAATGAGACAAAAAACATTTGAATCAGCTAATAAATGTGGGAAATTGCTGGCTTGGCAAATGAAAAAAAGACAAAAATTAAATACAGTTACAAATTTAGAAGTGGAAGGAAGGAATATACAGAACCCAGCTGAGATTAGAAATTGTTTCCAGAGGTACTTTAAACAACTATATACACAAGGGCCACAGAAAGAAATGGACATAGATCGATTTCTGAAGATAAATGGATTACAAAAAAATCTCTCAAGAAAGTAAATTAATGTTGAATTATAAAATATCTGAACAGGAAGTAGAAGGTGCCATTCAAAATATGCAATTAGGCAAATCTCCAGGACCGGATGGGCTGACTTCTAGATACTATAGATCCTTGAAAGAGTGGTTAGTACAACCTTTAAAGGAAGTCTGCAATGAAATATTGGAAGGGAAAAGGGCACCAGAGTCGTGGAAAGAAGCGTATATTACACTTATACCGAAAACAGAGACTGAAAAGACTCAGCTTAAGAACTACCGCCCCATATCATTACTTAATGTGGATTACAAAATTTTTGCAGACATTTTGGCCAAGAGATTGAAAAAGTGTTGATGGAAGAGATTCATAAAGACCAAGCGGGCTTTCTCCGGGAAGACACTTGTCTGACAATTTGAGGAATATAATTGATATTTTGGAAAAACTAGAAGTGAACATAAATACTAAAGCAGTTTTGATATTTGTGGACGCGGAGAAAGCTTTTGATAATATCTCTTGGAGTTTTATGAAGAAGAACCTACAGGGGATGGGGGTAGGCCAAGGCTTTGAAAACGGTATAAGTGCAATTTATTCAGAACAAAAGGCTAAACTAATTGTAAATAATGTGGTGACGGAAGAATTTAAGATAGAAAAAGGGACACGACAAGGTTGCCCAATTTCCCCATTGCTTTTTATATCGGTCCTGGAGGTTTTGCTGAATATGATTAGAAGGGACCAGTTAGTTAAAGGTATACAAGTCGGAGCCAAACAGTACAAATTGAGAGCATTTGCAGATGACTTAGTATTGACGTTACAGGAGCCAGAATCTAGTACCAAAAGGGTTTTAGAACTGATTCAAGAATTTGGTCAGGTTGCAGGATTTAAACTGAATAAGTTAAAAACCAAGGTTTTAGAGAAAAACTTAACACCGATTGAGAGAGAGAGGTTTCAGAATGAGACAGGTTTAACAGTGGTTAAGAAAGTGAAATACCTGGGGATTAACATGACAGCAAAAAATGGGAATCTATTTAAAGACAACTATGAAAAATGCTGGGCTGAAGTGAAAAAAGATTTAGAAATTTGGTCAAATTTGAAGCTTTCACTGCTGGGTCGTATTGCTGCGATAAAAATGAATGTATTGCCTAGAATGTTGTTTTTGTTTCAAACATTGCAAATTGTGGACAAAATGGATTGCTTCAAGAAGTGGCAGAGAGACATTTCTAGATTTGTCTGGCAGGGCAAGAAGCCCAGAATAAAATTTAAGATATTAACTGATGCAAAGGAAAGGGGTGGATTTGCCCTGCCAGACTTTAAACTTTATTATGAATCAGCAACTTTCTGCTGGTTGAAAGAATGGCTGCTTCTTGAAAATACAGACATTTTGGATTTAGAAGGTTTTAACAACGTATTTGGATGGCATGCATATCTGTGGTATGATAAGGTCAAAGCACATAAAGCATTCAAGAATCATATTGTCAGGAAAGCATTGTTTAATGTCTGGATAAGATATAAGGATTTATTGGAAAATAAAACCCCAAGGTGGTTGTCACCGATGGAAGCAAAAGCACAGAAAAAGCTCAATATGGAGGCCAAGTGGCCGAAATATTGGGAAGTTCTGGAACAAGAGGGAGATAGACTGAAATTGCAGAGTTTTGAGAAACTAAAAAATAAAGTGCGAGATTGGCTTCATTATTATCAGATAATGGAGGCATATAATTCGGACAAGAAAATTGGTTTCCAGGTGGAAAAATCAAAATTAGAAACAGAACTGTTAGAACCCAAAACTAAGATTTTGTCAAAGATGTATAACTTGCTGTTGAAATGGAATACTCAGGATGAAACGGTGAAATCTGCTATGATTAAATGGGCACAAGATGTTGGACATAACATAATGATGGCTGACTGGGAACAGTTATGGACCACAGGTATGAAGTTTACGGCATGCAATGCCTTAAGAGAGAATATTATGAAAACGATATACAGGTGGTACATGACCCCAGTCAAGCTTGCAAAAATCTATCATTTGCCCGATAACAAATGTTGGAAATGTAAAGAAACTGAAGGTACATTCTTTCACCTTTGGTGGACGTGCCCAAGGATTAAGGCTTTCTGGGAGATGATCTATAATGAATTGAAAAAGGTATTTAAATATACCTTCTTGAAGAAACCAGAGGCCTTTCTCCTGGGCATAGTCGGCCAATTGGTGCCAAAGAAGGATAGAACTTTTTTTATGTATGCTACAACAGCAGCAAGAATACTCATTGCAAAGTATTGGAAGACACAAGATCTACCCACTCTGGAAGAATGGCAGATGAAGGTGATGACTATATGGAACTGGCGGAAATGACTGGCAGAATCCGAGACCAGGGAGAAGAGTCGGTGGAAGAAGATTGGAAGAAATTCAAAGACTATCTACAGAAATATTGTAAAATTAATGAATGTTAGAATGATGTTGGATAGAAATTAAGTGGTTTTCAGCTGTAATACTATAAGGGAATATGAAAAATGGATTATTAATAGGTAAAAATTTAATGTTACAATATTTTAAGATTAAAGATTAGGATAAACAAAGAGGGTAAGGATTTGCTGAACCAACAAACTGAACTGGAATACAAAAAAGGGTGGCGTGAGGAAGTCCGGGAAACAAGCTAATGAAAAATAAGTAATGGAAAGATTGAGTTGTTTTTAACCCTTTTTATTTTGTATTTTCTTCTTTTTTTATTTTTATTTTGTAATATTTTGAAAATCTCAATAAATATCTTATTAAAAAAAAAAAAAAGCAATGACAAACCTAGACAGCATCTTAAAAAGCAGAGACATCACCTTGCCAACAAAGGTCCGTATAGTTAAAGCTATGGTTTTCCTAGTAGTGATGTATGGAAGTGAGAGTTGGACCATAAAGAAGGCTGATCGCCAAAGAATTGATGCTTTTGAATTATGGCGCTGGAGGAGACGTGAGAGTGCAATGGACTGCAAGAAGATCAAACCTATCCATTCTGAAGGAAATCAGCCCTGAGTGCTCACTGGAAGGACAGATAGTGAAGCTGAGGCTCCAAGACTTTGGCCACCTCCTGAGAAGAGAAGACTCCCTGGAAAAGACCCTGGGAAAGATGGAGGGCACAAGGAGAAGGGGACGACAGAGGACGAGATGGTGGGACAGTGTTCTCGAAGCTACCAGCATGAGTTTGACCAAACTGCGGGAGGCAGTGGAAGACAGGAGTGCCTGGTGTGCTCTGGTCCATGGGGTCACGAAGAGTCGAACACGACTAAACAACAACAACAACAACAATGCAAATAGGTCTCAGCTAGGTTGGACCCCGAAAAACAGAGGAACAAAGTCCTTTTGGATCGGGCCAAAGGACCATCTCTGCGGCCCAGCATCCCCTCCCCTTGTGATTCATGGAAACTGCTATTTCCAAGGCAAAGCAGCTCCAACACTGCAGATAACATCAGAGACCTATTCCATCACTCCCTGGCGCAGAGTGCCATGGGGAGGGTCCCTGCCGCAGCTCTGGAGGAGTTTGGGGTCGGCGACCCAGAAGATGCCTCTCAGCTCCCAGGACATCCGGTGTTTTGCTCCTCAATTATTTCCCGAAGCTGACGCAGAGCCTCCTGTGCATTCTTCCAACTCTAGCAGGCGGCAGGGTTAAGAATCCCAGACTCCCACACTCCCGGCAATCTGCTTCGGCTTTCGATTCCTTGCTTGAGAAAAGGAGAGTGCAAGCGATTTGCCCCTTGCTAACCCAGCAAGTTTTATGTTGCCTTGAGCACGCCAAAGCTAGGAAAGGTGAAAGCCTCTCAACTGTTTTATTTTTTATTTTAAAAAAGCATATTCCTAGGGGATCCGTCAATACAAAAGCATGTTTTCCAACATCTTTCCTGGTTCCCCTTAAAACTGCTCCTTCCAATCACTGATTCTCCATTTAAACACAAGCACAAAAATCTCCGAACCTGCACGATGAACTGCTGCCCCAACAGAATCTGTGATGGAAGTTCTCTGTAAACACCCATCAGCATTTCAGGGTGAATTATTCCAAATAAACACATTGTTATGCAATCTTGCATTACAGACATGTTTTTGTAAGCCAACTCCTAAAAATAATAATATTTTATTTATACTCTGCCCATCTGGATGGGTTGCCCGAGCCACTCTGGGCGGCTTCCAACATACGTAAAAATAATAATCAAACATCAAACATTAATAGCAAGAATCTAAGAAAAAGTCACAATAATTATTATTGTGTTTTTAATATTCTGTTGGGAGCCACCCAGAATGGCTGGGGAAACCCAGCCAGATGGGCAGGGTATAAATTATTATGATTATGATTATGATTATGATTATTTTAAAATAAACAACTTATATCAAATAAATCAATATTCAATAATCCACTAGAATTCAATAGTAAACAGTAACAGAAATGCAACTTCTTCAGTGCTTTTAATCAATGCCTTTTTCTGCACATTTTGTCCCAGTAAACACATTTTGCATTAATCGTCTGGATAGCAGAATTGCAAAATTCAAAGGAAGTGTGGGTTTCAGAGGATGGCTGTGTCTTGGAATCTGCAGGTTCAGTTTGCTTTGAAGTGACAACTGCACCAAGCTTCTTCCCCATCTGTTACCTGAGTTGCACTTTTGCAGCTGCTGCAATCTTCCCTCGCCTGCCCTGGCTCACCTGTCAACCCCTGACCTCTCCAAAGGCTGCTGTGGAGGCCAGAACCAGTCTGGGAAGCTGCTGAGTCACTTCTGTGCTCCGTGAATCAGATCCTAACCCTGTCACAGCTCATACGATGCTAGTTTTGCCTTCCAAACACAGAATCCGAGCTGAACTTTCTGGGCACAGATCGGAACGTCTTGGAAGGGTTGAGGGGTGTGTGACGGGCTGGCTAGAACTCCGAACAGGAACCAACCCACGCTGCAACACTTTGTTGCAGTTTGCAATGTTTAACGGATGCATTTATCAAACTTTTTTTTCTAGGCGGCCTTTCACTCCGAAAGGAAAGTCACCAGTGAGGGAGTTTCAGGAAGTACTATCTCAAAACAGGGGTTTGGTTTAAAGGGTTCTATTCAAGAATGAAAACATGCATCCCCAAACCCTGGGAACTGCTCTGTGTTTGCAGATTAAGAGCATCCTCAGCACTCCCAGAGCCCATGTGCAAGGCGGAGAGCTTAAATGCTCTTTCCACACTAAGTACCCCAGGCAAGGGACGCGGGTGGTGCTGTGGGTTAAACCACAGAGCCTAGGACTTGCCGATCAGAAGGTCAGCGGTTCGAATCCCCATGACGGGGTGAGCTCCCGTTGCTCGGTCCCTGCTCCTGCCAACCTAGCAGTTCGAAAGCGCGTCAAAGTGCATGTAGATAAATAGGTACCGCTCTGGTGGGAAAGTAAACGGCGTTTCCATGTGCTGCTCTGGTTCGCCAGAAGCGGCTTAGTCATGCTGGCCACATGACCCGGAAGCTGTACGCCGGCTACCTCGGCCAATAAAGCGAGATGAGTGTCGCAACCCCAGAGTCGGCCACGACTGGACCTAATGGTCAGGGGTCCCTTTACCTTTACCTTACCCCAGGCAAACCTAGCATGGAAAGAGCTTTTAAGCTCCCTGCCTTGCTTGGGGCAAAACCAGCGCCAGATTATAAGCTAAACAAAGCTATAGATTAGGGCCCCACTTTCTTGGGGCCCCCATAAAGATTCAAAAGGAAAAAAACCCTGGATGTACAGTGGTACCTCGGGTTACGGACGCTTCAGGTTACAGACTCTGCTAACCCAGAAATAGTACCCCGGGTTAAGAACTTTGCTTCAGGATAAGAACAGAAATCGTGCGGCAGCGGGAGGCCCCATTAGCTAAAGTGGTACCTCAGGTTAAGAACAGTTTCAGGTTAAGAACAGACCTCCAGAACGAACTAAGTTCTTAACCCGAGGTACCACTGTACATTTCCAAAATTTAAGATAAAAAACAAATAAAATAAAACCTACATACAGCAACAGTGTTTTGTGTTGTGTAGGCTCCTATGATGTAAGTCATGGGCCCCGCCTGCTAGCCTGCTCCCTAAAATATCACTGTTTTGCTCCTTTCTATATATAGGGTGCCTATATTCTGCATGGACTGGTTGCACGGCAACATGTAGAAATGGCTTTAGATACCTATTAGGTCCATAAACTACCATATAGCATATAAAAAGGTAAAGGGACTCCTGACTGTTAGGTCCAATCATGGCTGAGTCTGGGGTTGCGGTGCTCATCTCGCTTTATTGGCCGAGGGAGCCAGCGTACAGCTTCCAGGTCATGTGGCCAGCATGACTAAGCCGCTTCTGAGCAGCGCACGGAAACACCGTTTTCCTTCCCGCCAGAGCAGTACCTATTTATCTACTTGCACTTTGACGTGCTTTCGAACTGCTAGGTTGGCAGGAGCAGGGACTGAGCAATGGGAGCTCACCCTGTCACGAGGATTCGAACTGCTGACCTTTTGATCGGTAAGTCCTAGGCTCTGTGGTTTAACCGACAGCGCTACCTGCATCCCTGATAAAACCTTAGGTTTACCAAAACGCTTTGGAACACTGTGCCCGACTTTCTGCATCACGGCAAAAGGTGCAGCGAGTCCTTGGGAAGCCCCCCCCCCCGATTATTATTTATTAAATTTGCATACCACCCTTCATCCGTAGGTCTCAGGGCAGTTCACAGAGTTAAGTTTCTAGCCCTTAACGTCTTGCAAATACACCCGACGATGGAAAGGGGAAAACAACCGGATGGAGACAAAGAACAACAAACCTGAAGAGGTTCTCTGCCCCTGCCCGCATCCTCATCTCCTTGTTGATCTGCTGGTTGATTCGCGCCCGGCGGTGCTGCAATTTGCTGCGCTGAGTCTGCGCCAACGGATCACAGCCCTGTTGCAGAAAGAGGAGGAGAAACATTGCTTAGCCCAGAGGGACTTCGATAAAAGGTCCCAGCTTCCATTCCTGGCATCTCCAGGCAGAAGGAGACAGTGGTGGCTTAGTGGTTAGAGCAGCGTTTCCCAAACTTGGGTCTCCAGCTGTTTTTTTGGACTACAACTCCCATCATCCCTAGCTAGCAGGACCAGTGGTCATGGAATGATGGGAATTGTAGTCCAAAGACAGCTGGAGACCCAAGTTTGGGAAACACTGGGTTCGAGACCTGGGGGAGAGAGCAGGGTTTGAATTCCCCACTCAGTCATGAAGAGAGAGATAAAACTTTATTCGCATTAGCCAATGGCCATAGCAACAGTAAAACATTACAGTATACGCAAAAGGAAATTTGATATAAGAGCACAATTTAAAGTCCTGAATCAGCCCTTATTCTGATTGCCTCTGCTATGAACCTAGCCACCTTTGCTGTTATCTGCTCATTTTGATCTGATAGAAGAAAGGACATTGTGGCTGTGGTTGAGCGCCCTGGGATGGTTAGTACGAGTGGGGTGATGATCTCGTTCCTCGGGTCTTTGTAGAGAGTACAGGACAGGAGGACGTGTGCCGCTGTTTCGGTGCTACCGTCTCCACAGGTGCAAAGACGTTTCTCAGGCGGGATCTTTTGGAATCGACCCTCAAGTACCGCAGATGGCAAAACATCCAGTCTTGAAAGTGTAAAAGCACGTCTGTATTTTGGGATAATACGTTTGTGCAGATATGGGGCCAGAGAATCAAAATGGAGAGGTGGAAACTAAACATACCAAGGGCAGAATTTCCTTATAGTGGCCAGGTTGTTCTGATGCTCGATATCTTTTAGACGTTGACCAGTTAGCCTGTTTGCTTTAGTAGGGCCCATAGTGAGGAGGTGTTGTGGGGATAGGCCACAAGAGTGAAGTTTTGGATAGAGGGTTTTAAGCCAGGCATTTTTATGGGAGTCTTGAAGTACTAGGGATAGTAAACCGGGGGGATTTGAGTTTAGGCGGAGCCAGAAGTTAAGAGTTCTTTGCCAAGTCCGTACTTCTACTAAAGGGAGACTTGCCTCCAGTCGCAATGATGCGTTTGGGACGCATGGCGGTACAGAAAAAATCTGCCTTAGAAACTTTGATTGAACAACTTCCAAAGTGCTAAGGTGGTTACCAGCTTGCTGAGTGAGCCTGGAGCAGTTGGCCCCTGTCTCTCAGCCTAACCTACCTCACAAGGTTGTTGTTATGCCTGGCCCACGACACCTTTGGTAAAGGCTGTTCTCCAATTGGAGCGCTTGCAGGCCAGTGTTTCCCAGTTGTCGGTGGTTATACTACATTTTTTTAGATAAGAAGGGACCTGCTGGATCAGAGCAAAAGCCCATCAAGTTCAGCATCCTGGATCTCGCAATGGCTAACCAGATGCCCTCAGGAAGCCCACAGACAGATGGCAAGTGTCCTCTCCGGCTGGCCGATGCCCCCTCTGCACCCATGGAGAGTCGGGGTCAATTATGGCTTCGGATTTTCACTGGAAGTTGTAGCCACTTTGTGATTCCAACCTTTCCCCATATATGGGGAGACAGGAAAGTTGCTTCCATCTGTTGGACTCCCAGCTCCCACCAACCCCAGGCACCACGGCCAATGCTCAGCTGGAGTCCCAAAACAGCCAGGCGGCCTAGGGAGCCAGTGTGGTGTAGTGGTTAAGAGCGGTGGACTCGTAATCTGGTGAACCGGGTTCGATTCCTCGCTCGTTCACATGCAGCTGCTGGGTGACCTTGGGCCAGTCACACTTCTCTGAAGTCTCTCAGCCCCACTCACTCACAGAGTGTTTGTTGTGGGAGAGGAAGGGAAAGGAGATTGTTGGCCGCTTTGAGACTCCTTTGGGTAGTGATAAAGCCGGATATCAAATCCAAACTCTTCTCTTCTTCTTCTTCTTATGCCTGATACGTTTGCCCTGGAATAGGTGCGGGGAACCTTTGGCCTGCCAGATGCTGCTGAAATACAACTCCCATCAGCCCTGGCAAGCAGTGGTTGGGGGTGATGAGAGGGCCAAAGGATTCCCCACACCAGCTCTTCAGCACAGAAGCAACTCTGAGACTGACTGCCCCAAGCCATGACTTTCCTGGAAGGAGAGCAGCTTCCTGATTGAGAAAATTCATTTTAGAATTAATTGATTTTAGAACAGATTGTGGTTTTATGTAAACTGTGTTACTTTTACTATTGTTAGCCGCTCTGAGCCCGGCTTTGGCTGGGGAGGACAGGATATAAATAATGTATTATTATTATTATTAAGGATACAATTCGGAGCAGGAAAACTGTGTCTGTCACCTTGAACTCCTTGGAGCAAAAAATGGGATAAAAATGCAATAATTAAGGGGCAGGAATGGATATGTTGGGATAGAGTCAGTGACACCCCTTTTGAGATATGGGGGTGAACTTGGCGTCCTTTTGATCCTTTCCTGCTCTGATTCCACGGTCCCCCTGCATGATCGCTGCAATTTCACAGACCATCGCTTCAGCGTTATCATTTCTTGACTCTCTATTTAAAAATGAATTTGTTTTGCTCTTACAGTCCTCTGGCTTGCTGCTTATTAATTTGTCCTAATGTTAAGTGTGATCTTTAATCTTTCTGGGGCTTTCTACACTGCCCGGAAAACTCCTGTCTATGGGCCCCTGACGAATGCAAATGAATAAATAAACAAAGTGTGAAATGAAGAGACCAAATACCGTATTTTTTGCTCTAGAAGACTCACTTTTTCCCTCCTAAAAAGTATGGGGAAATGTGTGTGCGTCTTATGGAGCGAGTGCAGGCTGTGCAGCTATTCCAGAAGCCAGAACAGCAAGAGGGATCACTGCTTTCGCTGCGCAGCGATCCCTCTTGTTGTTCTGGCTTCTGAGATTCAGAATATTCTTTTTCTTGTTTTCCTCCTCCAAAAACTAGGTGCGTCTTATGGTCTGGTGCGTCTTATAGAGCAAAAAATACGGTAACTTTCCAGTGCAGATGGAGACATAGAGACAGGTTTGCTCTGTGCCGGACTTTGGGGCTCTCCTGGAAAGTCTAAGGCGAAGCAACAGAATAATAACAAAAATTAAAAAATAATAATATTTATATTGTGCCCATCTGACTGGCTTGCCCCAGCCTCTCTGGGCCTCTTCCAACATAATAAAAGCACAGCAAACGTCAACCATTGAAAACTTCCTGATACAGAGCTGCCTTCAGATGTCTGGGGACGCTGATACTTTGAGCTCCTCCATCATGTGCTCAGATGTGAAATTAAAACCATATATCCAAAAAAACCTTCCCCATATATCCTGGCTAAGTGCTGTTGCGAGTAACGTAACATTTCAATAACCTGGAGAATCTGACCAGAGTTGAAAATGGGCAGAAAAGAAATCGGGAGGGGAGTCCAACGTTCCTCTCTGTCTCGTGCAACTTTCGAAAATGGGTAAGGTGACTATCTTGAGCATAAGGTTGCAATTCTGGGCAAGGTTTACTGGGGAGTTGATTCCCACTGAATCCAGGGGGCTAGTCGTCCAAATAAAGACTCTGGAATTTGCACACATTGGGAAAGGAAGGGGGTGGGGAGACAAGAGAAGAGACGTGGGCTTGTTTTTAAGCGCCCCCACAAAAAAAGAGGCGATTCAGTTTCTCCAGGGCTTGTGGCAATGTGCAACAAAAGCTCTGCCCACGTGACAGGGGAAGATCTTTTTGTGCCGATGCACGATTCCGGTAAATGAAGACACATAGCTCTCAGGATTCCCAGAGGAGCAAAGAAAGGGACCTCTGAGCAGGGTGGGTGAGTCAGAGACCCAGCGTGGCAGGCAGACGAGGCCCCACTTTCCTTGCAAGAGCACAAAGGGTCAGCGAGAGCCTTTGCAACACAGCCGAAGGGGGTCAGGATTCCTTTTGGGCCAGGAACAAACTTGTTCCCTGTCCCGTAAAACAAATAAATGGCTCAGATTGTTTAGGGGAGGGAAACATAAGGGTCAGACCAAGTCCAAACCAAAGGCCAGGCGGAACAGCTCTGTCTTGCAGGCCCTGCATAAAGATGTCAAGTCCCGCAGGGCCCTAGTCTCTTGTGACAGAGCGTTCCACCACGTTGGGGGCCAGTGCTGAAAAGGCCCTGGCCCTAGTTGAAACCAATCTAACCTTCTTGAGGCTTGGGGCCTCCAAACTGTTGTTATTTGTGGACCTTAAGGTCCTCTGCGGGGCATACCAGGAGAGGCGGTCCCGTAGGTACGTGGGTCCTAGGCTGATGGATGAACTTTGATCTTTTAAAGCACTTAATGGTTAATAATAATAATTTTTATTATTTATACCCTGCACCAGTCACTCTGGGCAGCTTCCAACACATATAAAAACACCATAAAACATCAAACATTAAAAACTTCCCAATACAGGGCTGCCTTCCGATGTCTTCTAAAAGTCAGATAGTTGTTTATTTCCTTGACATCTGAAGGGAGGGCGCCACCACCGAAAAGGTCCTCTGTTTGGTTCCCTGTCAGCGAGGGAACTACCAGAAGGCCCTCGGTGCTGGACCTCAGTGTCTGGGCTGAGCAATGGGGGTGGAGATGCTCCTTCAGGTCTACAGAGCCAAGGCTGTTTAGGGCTTTAAAGGTCAGCACCAACACTTTGAATTGTGCTTGGAAACGTACTGGGAGCCAATGTAGGTCTTTTAGGACTTTGGAATAGCCTGGAATAGCCACTCACTGGCTTTCTAAAGGAGTGCTGACGTATCTTTTATTTTCTTTTGTTCCCGCGACTGCCGGTTCAGGTTGCATATCTTTAAAAGAAAACCAAAAGGCTTCACACACACAACAAAACCAACCCCTGGAAATTTACGAGGCTTGGGTGGGTCATTAAGTTACATGAGCGGAGCTGAGCAGTGAAATTTATTGCCTCTGAGAGAGGAGGATTAGGAAGGCGATCTATAAAGGAGCAGCATGGCTGCTCTGAGCCCCGATGAAACACGCCACCAAACGGTCTTATTGTATCTGGCGGGCTCCGTGCAAGGAGAGAAGGGGTCAAAATCCAGAACTGCTGCAAAGGAACGGGCAAGCTAAGGGCGAGCTATTGTCCAGCACGAAATAGGAGAGCCCAGCCTTGCGACAGGACGATGACAGAGCAGCAAAATAGGAAAATGGTTCTGCACAAAAAGTGGCGACAGTTGTTTTATTCCAGGCGCCCCGAACCGGAGTTCAGTTTCCACTCGTGGACTTTGGACCTCTGACCAATGGAAGGTTCTCAGGAAACAACCTGAGCGCATGCCCCAGATCAGTCTGTCTCCTGGTCCCATGCAAACTTCACGCAAACACACACCTCAATTCAGGAGCTCAACTGCCTTCTTTTAAATGCTATGCTACTTAGACCTTAAAGACTATTTGCTCCCATTGCCCCATAGCCATTAACTCCAAATTACTTTTCATAAAATCCCATGAAATATTATCAAAGGCCTTCTCTGTGTCAATAAACATTAATGCTGCTTGCTTATCATTCCTGGTCTCTGTTGTTGTTTAGTCGTTTAGTCGTGTCCGACTCTTCGTGACCCCGTGGACCAGAGCACGCCAGGCCCTCCTGTCTTCCACTGCCTCCCGCAGTTTGGTCAAACTCATGCTGGTAGCTTCAAGAACATTGTCCAACCATCTCATTGATCGTACGCAAGCATGCTTGCCTCATTTTTAGTAGTTCATTTAAGCCAGGCTTTCCAAAAAGGTGGTTTTGGACTACAGTTCCCATCATCCCTGATCACTGCTCCTGCTAGTTAGGGCTGATGGGAGTTGTAGTCCAAAAACAGCTGGAGACCCAAGTCTGGGACACCCTGACTTAAGTCATCTTAAAGCGGGTTTTTGAATTGTGTGAGGTGGTTTTAGCAGCACGATCCTGCGCAGCAAGATTACAGAGGCGTAATAATTAGGAACGTCGGAAACTGACTTCTTTCCCAAGTCAAACCATTGGTCCATCTTGTTCAGGATACCCACACCGATGGCAGCAGCTCTCCAGGGTTTTCATCGGAATCTCAATTTTATAGCATTTCCAGGTAGAGCAGGAAATGTCTGGAGAACTGCTTCCAATCCACAGTACAGTCGAACGGAATCTGTTCCGGAAGTCTGTTTGACTTCCAAAACGTTCAGAAACCAAGGCGTGGCTTCTGATTGGCTCCAGGAAGCTCCTGCAGCCAATCGGAAGCCGCGGAACCCCTGTCGGACGTTCGGGTTCCAAAGAACGTTTCTAGGGAGTCTTCTCTTCTCCTGAGGTGGCCAAAGTCTTGGAGCCTCAGCTTCAGGATCTGTCCTTCCAGTGAGCACTCAGGGCTGATTTCCTTCAGAATGGAGAGGTTGGATCTTCTTGCAGTCCATGGGACTCTCAAGAGTCTCCTCCTCAAGACAGGAGGGCCTGGCGTGCTCTGGTCCAGGGGGTCATGAAGAATCGGACACGACTAAACGACTAAACACACACATCTTTTAAAATGTGATCCACATGAGGCCCCTGGAAGCGATCTGTTAAGGACTTTTTAAGAGCAGATTCTCTCACTTTGGGGCTGAGGTGGTGGAGAAACGGGCCAGCTGCTCACTGGAGAATGAAACCTAGCTAGCAAAGGCCACAATTCCTACTAGAGATAAGCGCAATTGCTATTTAAAACTCTGCAAGCACCCGGCAGTTAAGCCTGATATCCTTTCACTTTTTAGCCCTCTCCCTCGATTGCAGTTTCTAAAATATGTCACAATGCACTTCATTGTACCCAGTTTTTTGTGGGGGGTGTTTTTTTCTGCAGACTAAAACAGGATCCGGCCATTAAGGTGAAATTCTCCCACACAGAGACCTTTTCAGAGAAGAAGAAAAGCAAAATTAGCGAATTAAGGCTATTATGAAATTAGTCTGACGACTGGCTGCAGAAAGCAGTGCTTACCACATCTGTGGAACTCCCTGCTCAAGGAGACCTGACAGTTGTCGCTTGGCTTTTTAGGAAACTTCCAAGATGTTATAAGCTTTCCTGGAGCACCCGATTTGCATGGCGCTAACTTGGTGACAACTGCCTTCTCCTGTGTGGTTAAAGCACCTCTGGGGAGGTGGGATTACTTAGGGGGGGCGCTAAGTGGCAAGGGAGCTCTACCAATGGGATGCTTCTCGATTCTTCATGAGAAATCCAATACCAGCAGTGAGTGTCCCATAGGGTTGCCATATTTCAAAAAGCAAAAATCCAGAGAGAAAAAACGGGGGGTTCTCCAGAAAGAAAAAACGGGGGGTTTTTCGCGGGGCCACAAAGCTGTTGAGCTTGCTTTTTTCTTTTTCAAAATCTCAAAAAAAGAAGAAGCCATTTCTGAGCTATTTCCCCCCCGAAAACAATAATTGGGAATACAGTCTTAGAAATGGATTTATTTCACAAACTTTCTTACGAATATTCAAAATAGTGACCAAACACAATAATTTAATTACTACAGAAACTGGTTGACAAGAATTACCACCCCACTGTGGCCTCTATTAGTAACACAGCCAATACAGATCAACTGTGGGTTGCAAAAAAGGGTTTATTCTTAGCACTTGACACCATGGTTTTTTGTCTATGAGAGTACAGTGGTACCTCTGTTTACGTACTTAATTCGTTCCGGAGCTCCGTGCTTAACCTGAAACTGTTCTTAACCTGAGGTACCACTTTAGCTAATGGGGCCTCCCGCTGCTGCCATGCGATTTCTGTTCTCATCCTGAAGCAAAGTTCTTAACCTGAGGTACTATTTCTGGGTTAGCGGAGTCTGTAACCTGAAGTGTCTGTAACCTGAGGTACCACTGTACCCAAAACCTGAAGCTGTGCTGAATTTTTGAGCTATTTTTTAATGAAATTCGGCAATATCTACACTTCCGACATGGGTTGTCATACATCCAGATTTTCCCAGACATTTTTGCGATTTCCGCCCGGACACTGTTTCCAATGACCAGATCCTGGCTATGTCCGGGATACTGCAGACGTATGGAAACCCTACCCACTGGCTCCCACTGGCAGAAGAAACAGTGCTCAAACTCGCAAAACTTTTTTTTTTTTGGCCAAAGGCTTTAATGTGTAAGTCACTGTGTTTGCCACACATTTCGGTCAATGGGTGCAGGAGAGTGTGTAATAAAGAAAATCTGTCCTTATTCTCTTATGGGGTACACAAGAGCCCTTGTGGAGTCCTTTGTAGGTTCTCCATCGGTCGGAGAAAATAACAGAGGCCAACCAGAGAATATTGAGAAGCAAAGCACCTAGTAAGCTTGATCTTTATTCCACTATTGGCCCCTCACAGACAGGAGAAAGGAGGAGGACCCAGAACAAAGGTGTGCCCGCCCTTATATAGACATTTTAAATTGCCCGCCCTGGAGTCCAAGACCACCGCTAGAAACATCATACATACATCACAAAAAGGGGTGTAGCTCAAGACCACCCCCCAAACACATCATACCTACATCACAGAAGGGGTGGTCTACAACAGAAATCTGAGTGCGTTGTTTATCTCCTGTCGGGCAGATTACCTGTTTAATGGTCACTTGATTGGATTGCCTAGGGAGTCTGGCCAGTCTTTTGTAATGATAAATACTTAGTTCCTGAGCCAGATCACAGGCTCACACCCTATTCATATCTTAAATGTGCCCTTAAGACAGGATTTGTGAGGAAAAAGACAATGGGGAGGTTTCCCACTTTGGCCTTGCAGAGAAATATTTGAGGTCACTTTGTTCAGGACTTTTTTTTTCTGTGGTGTTTCAGACATGTCGTTTATATATTTATGTATATGTTTGCTTGGTACATCCATGAACAATTATTACATATCTAAGAACTTAAAATTCTTCTAACAGGTGCTTGTTCAAGCGCAAGCAAGGTATTTCCCCAATACCTAACACCCCACAGAAGAAGTGTCACATGGAGCAAGCCTGTTTTCTGCTGCTCTGCAGGGCGGGACCCGAACCCAGGGCTTCAATTTACAAGAAAGGAGACTCCAACGAAACATTAGGAACAACTTTTTGACAGCAGAAGAGCCGTTCGACAGGGGAACGGGCTTCCCTTGGGATGTTGTGGACTTTCCTTCCCTGGAAGTTTTTAAGCAGAGGTTGGGTGGCCCCACGGATGAGATCCCTGCATGGCAAAGGGGTTGGGCTAGATGAAGGCTGGGGGTCCCTCTTCCGACTCTATGATTTCTGGACAGCCACGGGTTCCTGACCCCCAAGCTAAAAGAACCACAGCTCAAAGCTCGCAAATGGACTGATGAGAGGAGAAGCCCAGTCTGTGTCTGTTCCCAACCTGGAAAAACAAGAGCTGGCTTGTGGCAGGCAGAGAGCCAAGATGGGGAATCGTGCAGAGGAAACAGATGTATTAAGTCCTCGGTGACAAAACAGCATTATCCAGCCAGGGAGATAACGGTAATGGGCCCTATCACAAGTTCCCCACTCCACTTGTTGGGGTCTCCATAGCAACCCTATCTGAATCACAATGCATGCAATCTGGCCGGCTGCAGCCGCTGCCTCCATCCCTCTTATATGTGCATGCAAGGATCATATCACCCACAGCAGCTTTTGAAACGACAAATGCCCTTTAAAATATATCTATCTATCTCTGAAGGACTGGAAGAGTTCCTTATATTTGCATGCACAATGCAAATAAATAACAATACTTCCACCTTGCCAACAAAGGTCCGTATAGTTAAAGCTATGGTTTTCCCAGTAGTGATGTATGGAAGTGAGAGCTGGTCCATAAAGAAGGCTGATCGCCGAAGAATGGATGCTTTTGAATTCTGGTGCTGGAAGAGACTTGAGAGTCCCATGGACCGCAAGAAGATCAAACCGATCCATTCTGAAGGAAAACAGCCCTGAGTGCTCCCTGGAGGGACAGATCCTGAAGCTGAGGCTCCAAGACTTTGGTCACCTCATGAGAAGAGAAGACTCCCTGGAAAAGACCCTGATGTTGGGAGGGCACAAGGAGAAGGGGACGACAGAGGACGAGATGGTTGGACAGTGTTCTCGAAGCGACCAGCATGAGTTTGACCAAACTGTGGGAGGCAGTGGAAGACAGGAGAGCTTGGCGTTCTCTGGTCCAGGGGGTCACGAAGAGCCGGACACGACTAAATGTCTAAACAACAACAACCGCGCAGATCTGGCTGGGTTTCCCCAGCCGCTCTGAGCAGCTCACAGCACATACTAAAACGTCAAAGATTAGAAACTTCCCAACACAGGGCCTCCTTCAGATGTCTTCTAAAAGTCAGATATACCGTATTTTTTGCACCATAACACTCACTTTTTTCCTCCTAGAAAGTAAGGGGAAATGTCTGTGCGTGTTATGGAGCGAATGCCTGCGGGTGGCGGGGGGGATCTGCAGTCGTGAGCAGAGGATCCATGGTTCCCCTTCCTTCCCTCCTCCGTGGTTACAAAGCATGGATCCACATGGATCCTCAGGATTTTTGCACTGGGCTACTCCAAACTCACTGTCAGATCACATGTCTGTGGCCACAGCATGAACCACAAAAATCATATATCCACTATTTCGTTTAGAATATTTTTTTTCTTGTTTTCCTCCTCTAAAAACTACGTGCGTGTTATGGTCTGTTGCGTGTTATAGAGCGAAAAATACGGTAGTTGTTTCTTTCAAACGGAGTGGCCTTCAGCCTTTTAAAGATCCGACCGCCCAGTCTGCAACAACGGGGTTCGGCTTTAGATTCGCACGCGCAAAACAAAACGAGGAAAGACAACAGCAGCTTTTCTGTTTTGCAAGATGCAGTGCACTTGTGAATCTTCCAACTCCTTCGAGAGGGTTTGATGATTTGTTTCGAAAGACATCATTTCCTGCATTGCAGGGGCGCTGGGGGGGTGGATTAGATTATTCTTGGGGGTCCCTTTCAACTCTGCAAAACTATGATTCTATTGATTTTTTTCCACCTAGCACAGGAAAAGGCTTCAGGGTTCATACTTCACTAAGCCTGGGTACTTTGCCTGAATTTTCTTCAACCCCCGTAATACTGACAGCCGGTGTGGCACAGCAGTTAAGAATATCAGACTAGGACCTGGGGGGACCCGGGTTCGAATCCCACAGCCAGCCATGAAACTCACTGGGTGGCCTCGGGTTGGTTGCTGCCTCACAGCCTAACCTACCTCACAGGGTTGCTGTGAGGATTAAATGAGGAAGGGGAACGCCAGGTACACTACCTTGAGCTCCTTGGAGAAAAAGGTGGGATATAATTCAGTAAATTATAACGTCCCGCAGAGGACCTTAAGGCCCATGAATAATCATAGTTTAGAGGTCCCGGGCCCTAAGGAAGTCAGACTATCCTCCACCAGGGCCAGGGCCTTCTCAGTGATGGCTCCGACCTGGTGGAATGCTCTGTCCCATGAGACCAGGGCCCTGCAGGATTTAACCTCCTTCCGCAGGGCCTGTAAGACAGAGCTATTCTGCCTGGCCTTCAATTTGAATTCAGCCTGATCTTTTATTTCCCTTCTCTTCCCTCTCCTTTTATGAAGATCACCCGCTCTGAGACCCCACAGCTAATTCTTCCCTGGCCTCCTCGCTGGCCCAAGTAGGACCAATTCAGCCAGCTAGCCCTGGGGATTATCTAATGCTTATTTCCCCTAAATTGATTTCTGAATTTTGAATTTTATTGTTATTCATGTTTTTATACTGTATTTTATGCTGCCTTTATAATTAAGTGTTTTAAATTTGTTGTTAGCTGCCCTGAGCCCGGTTTTTGAACCGGGAAGGGCGGGGTATAAATAAAAATTTATTATTATTATTATTATTATTATTATTATTATTATTATTATTATTATTTAAGGACAGGAACCCCGCCCCCATCCTTTCATCAAACACCTGGTGCTTCTTGGGCACTGGATTCCAATTCTTTTTTTTTATTTTTAATGATATTTATTGAAAATTTTAAAATTACAAAAGAGAACAAAAAAGAAAAAAGGAAAGAAAAAATAAAGAAAAGACAAACCACAGTCAAACAATACAGATTAATAAAAATCAAAATCAAAAAATAACCCGACACAATTAAAAAACAAAAATATACCACAAACATTTAAAAACAAATCCAATATTCTCATACTTTAACTGTCATTACCTTCTTTCTTTGACCTCCTCCTCCTCCCTTTTTCTGTATCCTGATTATTAATTGTCACAGCAAATCCTTTCCATATTTCATAATATTCTGCCATTACTTTACCTTAATCTATTTTAATCTTATCTTACTATGAAAACCTTAAAACTTAAAACTTAAATCTTATTTTTACCAATTTCTCATAACCATAATATTCTTACATAATTCTTTAAACATCAATTTTATAAAACAACCATAATAAAAGAAATATCAATTCCAATTCATTTTAATGACTGCCTAGACGCAGATATCATGGGAAGGCGAGCCAAAACAGTGCAAGCCTGCATGCGTGATCTCAGTATGTGTGTGGCATTTGCAAAGCCTTTGACATATCCTATCAGTCCTCGTCCCCAATCACAGTAATGCAGCCACCCACAATAATCTCTTGCCTCTCTCTCCCCTGCAAGTTCCATGGGTCTTTGTGACCTGCTCTTTCTCCTTCTTCCTTGAATTATTATTCTCCAAAACAGCAACTGCGCCCGATATCAACCGGAAAACAAAACCCGCAAGTGAATAATCTGATTCCCCACGAGACCTCTGTGGGTTTTTTAAAGCCCGAGAGGTGAGTCGCTTTGCAAGTCCAGGCAGGTTCGTGGATTCAACCGACACCGTTCACTGCTAAGGCAGGAAATTTTGAAGCACCCGGACGGGTTGCCGAGGGCTGCGTGAACTTGTGTGTGCTCTTCTCCTTTTCATTTCTGCTTGAGTCACCAGGGAACAAGTTAAAAAAAAAAATCTAACGTAAACCAGTTGGGAGACAACATCAGCCGCCGCCACTAAACCAACAGGTTGGTGACTTAGGGAAATGTTAGCTCTGAAAATTGTCTTAAGTTACTTGTGTTTTCGAAATTGCCAGTAGCTGGAGAAACTCTGAATTTGGAACACACCCAAAATCCCACTGGAGGCATGTTACGTATGCTGAAAAGTTATTCCCGTTTGGAGCGTTTCCTTTAGATTTTGTCCACCTGCTGTTAAGAAAGTTGGCAATATAAACAGTAAACAAACATGTAGTTGATACAGGAATAATGGAAGCTGACTTTTTTTTTTGTCCATCTAGCACAATATAGTTGTACCTCAGAAGTCGAACTTCTTGTGAGTTGAACGTTTCGGCTCCCGGATGTTGCAAAGCCGGAAGTGAGTGTTCCAGTTTGCGAATGTTCTTTGAAACCCGAACATCTGATGGGGGTTCCGTGGCTTCTGATTGGCTGCAGGAGCTTCCTGGAGCCAATCGGAAGCCACGCCTTGGTTTCTGAACGTTTTGGGAGTCGAACAGACGTCCGGAACAGATTCTGTTCGACTTTTGAGGTACGACTGTACTGTGGATTGGAAGCAGTTCTCCAGACATTTCCTGTTCTACCTGAAAAGGCTAGAAAATTGAGATTCCGATGAAAACCCTGGAGAGCTGCTGCCATTCCGTGTGAGCAATCCTGAACAAGATGGACCAATGGTTTGACTTGGGAGGTCAGTTTCCGACGTTCCTAATTATTACCCGTCCTGTAATCTTGCTGCTGGACCATAAAGAAGGCTGAGAGCTGGACCATAAAGAAGGCTGATTGCCGAAGAATTGATGCTTTTGAATTCTGGTGCTGGAGGAGACTCTTGAGAGTCCCATGGACTGCAAGAAGATCCAACCTATCCATTCTGAAGGAAATCAGCCCTGAGTGCTCACTGGAAGGACAGATCCTGAAGCTGAGGCTCCAAGACTTTGGCCACCTCATGAGAAGAGAAGACTCCCTGGAAAAGACCCTGATGTTGGGAAAGATGGAGGGCACAAGGAGAAGGGGACGACAGAGGACGAGATGGTTGGGCAGTGTTCTCGAAGCTACCAGCATGAGTTTGATCAAACTGTGGGAGGCAGCGGAAAACAGGAGGGCCTGGCGTGCTCTGGTCCATGGGGTCACGAAGAGTCGGACACCACCAAACGACTCAACAACAACAACAATCTTACTGCGCAGGATCGTGCTGCTAAAACCACCTCACACAATTCAAAAACCCGCTTTAAGATGACTTAAGTCATGGTTTCTCCAGCTGTCTTTGGACTACAACTCCCATCATCCCTAACTAGCAGGAGCAGTGGTCATGGGTGATGGGAACTGCAGTCCAAAAAACCGCCTTTTGGGAAAGCCTGGCTTAAATGAACCACTAAAAATGAGGCAAGCGTGTTTGCGTACGATCATCGTGGAACCAGGTTGACAGCAGCTCCCTGTCCGAGTGCACCAAACGCAAGCTTGCCTCCGTGTCATGCGCAATGCCCCCCCAACATGCTAACAAAGAGTTTGCAGAGAGGTACAGCTGGACAAGGGACGTGGGTGGCGCTGTTGGTTAAACCACCGAGCCTAGGACTTGCCGATCAGAAGGTCGGCGGTTCGAATCCCCGCAATGACGGGGTGAGCTCCCGTTACTTTATCCCTGCTCCTGCCAACCTAGCAGTTTGAAAGCCCGTCAAAGTGCAAGTAGATAAATAGGTACTGCTCCGACGGGAAGGTAAACGGCGTTTCCGTGCGCTGCTCTGGTTCGCCAGAAGCGGCTTAGTCATGCTGGCCACATGACCCGGAAGCTGTACGCCGGCTCCCTCGGCCAATAAAGCGAGATGAGCGCCGCAACCCCAGAGTCCGCCACGACTGGACCTAATGGTCAGGGGTCACTTTACTTTACTTTACAGCTGGATGGGGAAGGAGAGGAAAGCATCACTGCAGGGAAAGGAAGGTGGCAGAAGCCAGGAAAGAGAGAATACAGTGGTACCTCGGGTTACATTCGCTTCAGATTACAGATGCTTCAGGTTACAGACTCCGCTAACCAGAAACAGTACCTCGGGTTAAGATCTTTGCTTCAGGATCAGAACAGAAATCGTGCTCCGGCAGCAGCGGGAGGCCCCATTAGCTAAAGTGGTGCTTCAGGTTAAGAACAGTTTCAGGTTAAGAACGGACCTCTGGAATGAATTAAGTACTTAACCCGAGGTACCACTGTACAGTCCTCAGAAACGAATCTGACGCAGCGGTCTTGCAAACGCAGCCACAGAAAGTGATTTTTCCCGTGCGTGTATGTCAGCAAATGTAAAGAAGAAGAAGTATGCATGCGAATAACCAGACGGAGAAAGCAAAATAGGCACCCTATTCGGAATGTTCAAAAGCTGTTTGGAAGCCAAGCATTAAGCAACGTGTTTACAAGTGGAACCATGGAATGAGAGGAAAAGGACGGCCTCCGTGGCCTTTCCCACCAGGCTTCAGCCCACATGGGCCTCCCGGGTAGCTGGGTTGCAGTTTTGAAGGCATTTGCTTCGCCAAACCAGAAACTTCCTCTTGGAAAGCCCGGCCACAGACCAGCCATGTGCACCTCGCTCTTTTTTTTTGGCCGGGACTCGTTTATTAACAGACACGAATCGCTGCCAAAAACACAGCCGTCACCCAGCCTGAGGAAAGAAACTCTAGCACAAAACATTAGCCTAAGCCGGTTGGAGACGGATCAGAGGGCGGCAGAGAGACAGAAAGAGAGAGAGAAAAGGAAAAGGACTGTGGGTTTCACTTTAAAGCATGACTAATTTGGAGCTGCTCGCTGGAAGGACAGATCCTGAAGCTGAAGCTCCAAGACTTTGGCCACCTCATGAGAAGAGAAGACTCCCTGGAAAAGACCCTGATGTTGGGAAAGATGGAGGGCACAAGGAGAAGGGGACAACAGAGGGCGACATGGTGGGACAGTGTTCTCAAAGCTATCAGCATGAGTTTGACCATTTTGCAGGAGGCAGTGGAAGACAGGAGTGCCTGGCGTGCTCTGGTCCAGGGGGGTCACGAAGAGTCAGACACGACTAAACGACTAAACAACAACAACAATTTGGAGCTGCGGGGACGCGGGTGGCGCTGTGGGTTAAACCACAGAGCCTAGGACTTGCCGATCAGAAGGTCGGCGGTTCGAATCCCCGCAATGACGGGGTGAGCTCCCGTTGCTCGGTCCCTGCTCCTGCCAACCTAGCAGTTCGAAAGCACGCCACTGCAAGTAGATAAATAGGCCAGTAAAGCGAGATGTGCGGCGCAATCCCAGAGTCGGTCACAACTGGACCTCATGGTCAGGGGTCCCTTTACTTTGGAGCTGGAGCTGGCTTGAAGCAGGATAAGCTAGCTTCCAGCAAGTCAAACCCGGGGTCCATTGAGTTCAGTGTTGTCTACACTGATGGGCAGCTGAGTAGGGTTCCAGGCAGGTAGGATTCCCAAATCTCGCTGGAGATGCCAGAGAACGGAACTGGGAGAGTCTGAAGGCTTAGCAGAGGCTTTGCCACTGAGCTATACCTTTCCTGTACAGGTGTGTTTGGGTCACATCTTCATTTGCGACATCTTCATTTACTGCTGCCGCAAAATACTGCAGCGAGGCTCCTCACGGGGTCCCTGCCATGGGAGCATATTCACCCAGCGCTTTACCAGTTGCACTGGCTCCTGGTGGAGTATAGGGTCAGGTTTAAGGTGCTGGTTTTGACCTTTAAAGCCCTTTGTGGCTTAGGGCCCGCGTATTTACGGGACTGCCTCTCCTGGTCTGCCCTGCAGAAAACCTTAAGGTCCATAGTTTAGAGGTCCCGGGCCCTAAGGAAGTCAGACTATCCTCCACCAGGACCAGGGCCTTCTCAGTGATGGCTCCAACCTGGTGGAATGCTCTGTCCCACGAGACCAGGGCCCTTCAGGATTTAACCTCCTTCCATCGGGCCTGTAAGACAGAGCTATTCTGCCTGGCCTTTAATTTGAATTCAGCCTGATCTTTTATTTTCCTTCTCTCCGCCCCCCCCCCCCCTTTTATGAAGATCACCCGCTCTGAGACCCCACAGCTAATTCTCCCCTGGTTTCCTCGCTGGCCCAAGTAGGACCAATTCAGCCAGCTAGCCCTGGGAATTATCTAATTGATTTTTGATTTTTATTGTTATTCATGTTTTTATACTGCTTTGATAATTAAGTGTTTTAAAGTGTTTTAAATCTGTTGTGAGCCTGGTTTTTGAACCGGGAAGGGCAGGGTATAAATAAAAATAAATTATTATTATTATTATTATTATTATTTCTGCAAGGTGGGTTTTTCAGAGCTCCTGGGGACTTGAACCTCCTGGCTCCCAGTCCCACTTCCATCCAAGTCATCTCCCCACATCCTGTGGTTTATCCACTGCAAAGTAGGTTGCAAAACGCATTGAGCAAAGTCAGCATCCAGTCTACGTTAAACAACTACCAGTATTTGACTTTTAGAAGACATCTGAAGAAAGCCCCATTCAGGGAAGTTTTTAATGGTTGATGTTATACTGTGTTTTTAATGTTCTGTTGGGAGCCGCCCAGAGTGGCTGGGGCGACCCCGTCAGATGGGCAGCATATAAAAAATAAAATTATTATTATTCTATCCGAGGTCCAATTTTAAAACTGATTTTTGTATTACAATTATTAATCGCGTATCTAACCAAAAAGCAAACGCAACTTACGATATAACACAAAAATTAAAACCAATATAAAACTAAAACTGAACAGAAGCTAAAAGCATTTGGAAACACAGAAGGTGGTCTGATAAATCCCACCTACTAAAAGAGGCCACAATATATAAAACTCTTTCGGTTAAAGGCCAAGAGGCTGAAAAGAGATGCTTTCGACGGGTGCCTAAAAGTAGCTAGGGACGACGCCAGGCATGCCTCCCTAGGGAGAGCATTCCAGAAGCAGGGAGCCACCACCGAAAAGGCCCCGTTCACACGTTCTGCACCTCTCTCAGCAACGGCACATAGAGAAGGACCTCGTTTCTGCAAAGCCCTGGCATTTCATAGGAAGCACCGGCAACATTATGTGAGAAGTGACGGTGGATCTCAAACGACACATCAGATAAACAAAGGTACCCAATACAACCACACGGTGGGCAATGAGAATACCCGGCTCTGCCACCCACTCGCAGGCCGGTCGGTGTCAATGCCAGCCCTCCTCTCACCCCACGGCTCACCTTCCGCACGCTGCCCCCGTCGCAGGGCAGCAGCAGGAGGGGGAGCCCTCCGTCGGCGTCCGCTTCCCCTCCGGGGGGGCTCTCTTCCTCTGGGATCATAATGGCTGGCCGGTGGGCATCTGTCGGGCAGCCGCAGGTGTGCCACAGCTCTGGGTTGCGATCCTGGCAAAGCTCGCCGGCTCAGGATGCTGCGAGGTGTTCTGCAGCCCTGGGCATCTCCCCGCAGCGCCTTAACTCCCCGCAGATCCTGAGGGCTCCTCGCTGGGAGACACACACGCCAGTTATGTTCAGGTGCGTCTAAGCACCTGCTTGCCTTTTCAGGAGTGCCCACCTGTCGGATCCAAATTCTTTCTCAGAATCTACGGGCTGGTGGGGGCAGAGATCCACCTTGAGCTGCTTTCTGCGCAAGATTTACCTGCGGGATCTCGCACGGGTCCTCAATGCCTGTCTGAAAGGGGGTGTCTTCTCTAGTCTTGCACCCCCACCCTGTGCCCTAAGACACACCCCTTTGATCCACCACCTGTATAGCCTGGAAATCTCCAAAATCCTGAGCACCTGTTTCCGGATCTCCACCTGGGGGGTCCAAATCTCTTAAAAGGAGGCTGGGGGGTGTTTTTTGGGGGAGCCCCTATCTACCCTTCCTCTTCCTCTTGCACCCAGATGCTCCCCCTGAGAAGATGGGGGGTGATGTGTCCCTGGTCCCCCTTTCCTTAGCCCCCAAACCTCTTTGAAAAATAAAAATAAAAAGCAGAGGGAAGGGTGAGTCTGCTGCTCCTGCCGCCGCCGCCGCCACTTTGGGATCCCCAAAGACAATAATCACATTCAGGCTTTTGCAACTCAGATCAGTGGCGGAGAAAAAGGGAGGAGCCCCCGACCAATAGGGAAGCGCCGGGTCCTGGAATGGCAGCGCGCTTAGCCACTAGGAAGTAAGAGTCCTGGGAAAGTGGGCGGGGATTTCCTTCCGGCACCGCCTACCATTTTTCTTTTTTTCCTCCTTTTCTGAATGATTGAAGGGAAAGGCGGGGAGGAGCCGAGCGAGGCGGTCGCCCGTGGCAACCGTGGGAATTAGAACGCGGGTGACGTCACGGGGAGGCGGTGCCCCGAGGGGGAGGGAAAAAAAGGAGTTTTGCAAAAACTCCTCTCTATCTTCTGCAAGGCGAAGGCGGGGTCGTTCCGGGGAGCCCTGCGCGGCCCCCGCTCACAAACGAATTTTTCAAATCCCAAACAGTTTTTTCGTTTTTTAAAATGTAAATAACCTGTTGCAAATTTGCACGAGGGAATTTTTTAAATCCCAGTTTGAAAAGTTTTAAAAATTATTTTTAAATATCTATCTCTTGCAAATCTAGCCGAATGAAATTTTTAAACGCGAGAAGGAAGAGCCCTCTAAAAACTTCTCTTATTCTTCAAATAATCTCTTGCAAATTTACATGCGTGGAGTTTTAAAATCCGGAATTGGAGGTCTTTTTCTTTCTTTCTTAATGCAAACAATTGCTTGTACATTAACACGCGTGGAGCTTTTAAATCCTATATTGGAGAGATCTTTTTAAATAAATCTCTTGCAATTTTACGTGCGTAAAGCTTTCAAATACAGAATTGGAGAGTTCTTTTTTTTAATGTAAATAATCTCTTGCAAACTTAATCCAGAATGCAATGTCCTCTTGCAAAACTTAATCCATACCAGATTGAGGCTAAAACTATCAAGAGCGTGTCCCCTGCTGTGCTTCCCTGCTCCTGTCTTTATGCAACAGTTGTGGCTACTGAAAGCTCCTCTCTTGAGGATCAGCAGCAGCCGCATGCCTAGTTGCTCGAGAGTAGACCTCAGCGATCTTCAAAAAAACGAAGATCATGGCCACTGGGCCCATCACCTCCTGGCAAATAGAAGGGGAAGAAATGGAGGCAGAGAGAGATTTTACTTTCTTGGGCTCCATGATCACTGCAGATGGTGACAGCAGTCACAAAATTAAAAGACGCCTGCTTCTTGGGAGAATAGCAATGACAAACCTAGACAGCATCTTAAATAGCAGAGACATCACCTTGCCAACAAAGGTCCGTATAGCTCAAGCTATGGTTTTCCCAGTAGTGATGTATGGAAGTGAAAGCTCGACCTTAAAGAAGGCTGATCGCTGAAGAATTGATGCTTTTGAATTCTGGTGCTGGAGGAGACTCTTGAGAGTCCCATGGACTGCAAGAAGATCAAACCTCTCCATTCTGAAGGAAATCAGCCCTGAGTGCTCACTGGAAGGACAGATCCTGAAGCTGAGGCTCCAATACTTTGGCCACCTCATGAGAAGAGAAGACTCCCTGGAAAAGACCCTGATGTTGGGAAAGATGGAGGGCCCAAGGAGAAGGGGACAACAGAGGGAGAGATGGTTGGATAGTGTTCTCGAAGCTACCAGCATGAGTTTGACCAAACTGGGAGGCAGTGGAAGACAGGACGGCCTGGCGTGCTCTGGTCCATGGGGTCACAAAGAGTCAGACACAACTAAACGACTAAACAACAACAGCAAGACCTCAACGGAGCGCGCTTCCGAATAAGACGTGCCTACTGCATAGGATCAAATCTGGATGGGGCGCGAGCTACTTGCAACATAGTGCCCGGGCTCTCCTTGGAAAGTGCAAAAACCAGGGGAGCGAAAGAGGCGGTAGTTCAACCGGTAGTGTCCAGCCAGGTATATCTGCACCTGTTGGATTTCTGCCTGGCAAATTGGCAATCACAACCATTAAAAAGACGTAAATGCCACATGAGAGCCGGGTTTGCTTATTGTTGCTCGTGCACCACTTTTTACAAAATACATCAATCCGAACATCTGTGTTCTAACGAGGCAGCTAATACGCGTGGAAAAAATAGTATTAAATAACATTATAAAGCCCCAAAATTATCAAGTTGACAAAAGCTATCAGGGCACAATGTAACAAAATTCAGTATATATTTAAAAAGGCCACATACTCACATGTAAGAATAGTAATATTGGTACATCCAGATTAAAGCTATTTATAAGAGACCCATTACTAAAAAGGTGAGGCTGCTGAACAGACCCTTGGGTTGGGGAACTGTTTAGTGTGGAATTGTTAGGGGCAGGTGGGGTTGTTGCTGTTACTGTCCCCCCCCATCCTCTGTTTTTAGATCTTATTATGATTCAATATTATTATTATGCTTATTTAACTTATATGCAGAATTCATCATGCGAAAGGCTGGGCTGGATGAATCCCTAGCCGGAATTAAGATTGCTGGAAGAAATATCAACAACCATCTGCTTTTCTGTTTTAAAAAAGGCACCAGATGTTTGGCAGCGGTTTAGCACTCGTAAGTTCCTTTTCTAAATGAGAATGAGTGACTCCCTGCTGCAGGAATCTAGACCCCAGGAATGAGCACATCTGCTCGGTGGGGACTCTGATGGGCCAACGCAGCTCAAGGTGAGTGGGTTCCAGTGCAAGTACAGAGTTCTTTGCAAATAAGGAATTGAAAGTGATGTTCAGTGATTGGATACTTACAGAAAGTTGTTACTGTTGCATTGTAGTAGAGCTCTATATAAGCAGGCTGGCTGAACCCTTCAGTTCAGTTCTGTTCTGGCCTGTGAATAAACAAGAGCTGTCTGAAGAATCGCTGTGTTGTCTGATATGTTCACCCACAACTTAACAAAAGAAGAGACTGAGAGGGGTGTTTCAAATTGTGTTTCAACGGCTCTTGTTTGTCCCTAGTAAGGGAACGGGATCTGCACTGACCGATTTGTTGCGAATGACCCCAATATTCCTCACTCTTTTCTTGGGTTCACGAGAAGCTGTGATGCAGGTGAAATGTTATCATCATTAAGCCGTGGCAATGCACCTTTTAATTGGCTGAATCATGGATCCATTGATTAAAAAAGCCATGGTTTTCCTAGTAGTGATGTATGGAAGTGAGAGCTGGACCATAAAGAAGGCTGATCGCCAAAGAATGGATGCTTTTGAATTCTGGTGCTGGAGGAGACTCTGGAGAGTCCCATGGACTGCAAGAAGATCAAACCTCTCCATTCTGAAGGAAATCAGCCCTGAGTGCTCACTGGAAGGACAGATCCTGAAGCCAAGACTTTGGCCACCTCATGAGAAGAGAAGACTCCCTGGAAAAGACCCTGATGTTGGGAAAGATGGAGGGTACAAGGAGAAGGGGACGACAGAGGACAAGATGGTTGGACAGTGTTCTTGAAGCATGAATTTGACCAAACTGCAGGAGGCAGTGGAAGACAGGAGTGCCTGGCATGCTCTGGTCCAGGGGGTCACGAAGAGTCAGACACGACTAAACGACTAAACAACAATGATTCAATGTGGAAATTGCTCGATTTGTTTGTGTACTTTTGTGTGCTGTTTGACCATTGTTGTTAGATTTGTAATTATGTATTTTTTCATGCTGAAAGTCACCTTGGACATAGTTTTTACTATGGAAAGGCAGACTACAAATAAAATGACGTATTTATGTAAATCAGCACATGCTCAAAGCCCGTTGAAACATGCAGAGGGAAAAGCGTCTGGCCTGCAAAGACAGTTTGGGTTCTGCTGTAGAAAAGGAAGTCCTGTGTTTTTAAGCAAAAGATAATTGTAGCAAATAACAAAAGACGGTGGCCATAGCTACACTGTTCATTTAAAACACATGGCTTCCCCCCAGTATCCTGGGAACTATAGTTTGCTAAGGCTGCTGGGAATTCTAGCCCTGTTGTGGGCAAACTGCAGTTCCCAGGAGTTTTGCAGCTGCAAGAGGAGAGGAAATCTGCATGTGGGAGAGGAACGGTTTGTGTTTGTTTTGCTCTTATTTCTACTATGTATTTTGTGTTTTTTATATTGTGATTTTGTGTTGTGAACTGCACTGAGATCTATGGATGAAGGGTGGTATACAAATTTAATAAACAAACAAATAATTCAGACAAGTCCTTATTGTGCTCCTAATGCATGCAAGTTTTTTGCAGTGTCTACAAGATGTCATGCACCCTACTCCCTTGTTTAATCTGGAATTATCCTTCCAAGAGGGAAATCCAATATGTGGGGCTTCCAGATGGGGGTTTTAATAACCAAGCAAGTTTTTGAGATATCTCAAAGGGGGGTAGGGGAATGGCGGCAGCAAGCAACAGGGACTTTATTAAGTTTTTCAGGATACAGTAAATAAACGGCACAGGGTTACTTCGAATTAACTTCTGAAATAAGAATATTGAGGGGTGCCTTCAATATTGAGCTTCTTAAGGAAGACTGGACCTTTGGAGAGAGCGTTCCTTTTAAGGCTCAAACTGGTTGGGAACAAAGACCAGACCAGGATATACGAAAGCAAAGCGGCTATAAGCCTGATTTTTATTAAAGCTGTTGCAACAGGGCACTCCCCTCACACGCAGGAGAGAGGAGGAGGACCCTGGACAAAGGTGTGCAAGCCCTTATATCAGGGGTCAGCAAACTTTTTTGGCAGGGGGCTGGTCCACTGTCCCTCAGACCTTGTGGGGGGCCGGACTATATTTTGAAAAAAAATAAATGAACGAATTCCTATGCCCCACAAATAACCCAGAGATGCATTTTAAATAAAAGGACACATTCTACTCATGTAAATACATGCTGATTCCCGGACCGTCTGCTGGCCGGATTGAGAAGGCGATTGGGCCGCATCCGGCCCCCGGGCCTTAGTTTGCCTACCCATGCCCTATGCCAACGAGCCATCAAAGCTCTTGATGTCCCCTCCATGATTTCCAATGGGGCCAGTTCATGCATCCAACTGGCTTATCCTCAAGTGGGACGCGGGTGGCGCTGTGGTCTAAACCACTGAGCCTCTTGGGCTTGCCAGTTAGGTCAGCGGTTTGAATTCCCGCGACGGAGTGAGCTCCCGTTGCTCTGTCCCAGCTCCTGCCAACCTAGCAGTTCAAAAGCACGCCAGTGCGAGTAGACAAATAGGTACCACTGCAGCGGTGAGGTAAATGGCATTTCCATGCGCTGCTCTGGTTTCCGTCATGGTGTTCTGTTGCGCCAGAAGTGGTTTAGTCCTGCTGGCCACATGACCCGGAAAGCTGTCTGTGGACAAACGCCGGCTCCCTTGGCCTGAAAGCGAGATGAGCACCGCAACCCCACAGTCACCTTTGACTGGACTTAGCTGTCCGGGGTCCTTTACCTTTACCTCAAGTGTTGAGAAATCAGCTAATGGGACAGGGCAGGGACAGAGAAGCTGTGGCCTTACAGACTGTACTGTACTTGTGTGGGATGTGAAACACAAGAGCAGTCAAGTACAACCTTCCTAGAGTGAACATGTTTGCACATGGGGAGGAATGTTTGTCCATCAGCAGGTAAACTTCCTGTTTCCTTCTGGGCTGGGACAGACTTCCTCTGCATGTGACTAGAGGTTGGTGTGGCCTCACCTCTCCAGGTAACGAGAAAAGCACAGGGCAGGGCAGCCATCTCTCTCTCTTTGACTACATGCATCAAAGAAGCAACATCGGCTTAGCCAAAGATGCTCTCTTGGCCTCCAGCCAAGAGAGGACAAAGGGACTTTCTTCTTATGAGATAGTTTCCAGGTATATGTTACTTTTCTAAGCTAAGTCTGCCTTCTGGGATCCTATTGTGAACAGAATGATGTGTGAGTAAACCTTTTTATACTTTTATAGAAGACTGTGTCGTGTCTTACCTTTTATGAGGGAATAAGGGGAAAATACCAGAACAGTTATTATAGAGGCTTTAGTGAGCCTTTAGCAAACGCATCCGCTGCAAGTTTAAAAAGGGGAATGTTACTCTGCTAAATTGTGAACTTGTTAACACAAGTTGGAAAGGCTATAATCAAACAATATATCCTCTCTGCATCCCTGAACATTCCCACAACTTGACCATTGATCATGGGGATTGGGGTTGGTGGGAGTTGGAGCCCAACGAGATCCGGAGCTTCCTCACCTCTGGGATAGAAGTGATACAGGCCAACCCACAACCACCATCTCCCGGAGCTGGCTTGCATGTCCGATTGATGACAGCATCCCTCCTGAGCCGCTGAAGGCAGAAGTGACCTCTCCTTCCTCCTTGTGTGTGCAGAGAGAGGGAGACTGTTTGCATTGACATACCAGCAATTGCTGCAACGTAAGGACATTGGATTTGACCAAACTGCGGGAGGCAGTGGAAGACCAGTGGAAGTGCCTGGCGTTCTCTGGTCCATGGGGTCACGAAGAGTCGGACACGACTAAACGACTAAACAACAACAACAAAGGACATTGGAAGTTGCCTCACACTGAGTCAGACCACTGGATATTCAGAAGCCATTTTCTGCTATTCCTATATTCTAAGCATTTGCGCAACCACCCAGAAGAATTGGAAGGCCATTTTTTTAATATAAAAAAATAGTGCTTCCTGCAATCCATGCACTGTTGGCGATTCGTTGCCCTGAAAGAACCAACGTCCATAATTCTTTGGTGCCTGGTCACCTGGTGGCGATGCTTCTGCGCCACAGGTGACCAGACAAGCACAGGAATGGTTTAAATACACAAGGAACTATTTAGATCATGCTGGCCTTAGACCTGGTCATAGCAACAGAGTTTAGGGTTATTTATTCAGGGCCATATGCATTGTTCATCTTCTGGGGGCACAAGCGGTTTGCGCTTTTGCAGAGGAACTTTCCCTTTCAGTTACTGCACCCTTGAAATCAGCTCTGGAAAGTGGGGGAACCTCTGGGGAAGATTGGGGAGGGGTGCAGGGAGAAGGAGGAGGAGGGGAAAGTGCTGCTCCCTAGAGCTTTGGGTATAATCCTGATTTCTTCTTCTTCTGGGTGTGGGGAAAGGGGCATTAGAAGAAGAAGAAGCAAAGGTCTAGGAACAATAGCTTAATGGTGTAATCACAGGCTGTCTTATGTCATAGTGGCTTAGCAGGGAGAGCAAAAGCGATTGGTTTAGCCAGCTGTCGATGTCACAGGGCTCTCCCCCAATCCCATTTGAGACTGGGTGATGGTAGAGCCAATAACATCTGAAAGGTTGGAATTTCTCAAGTTGAGGGACTTCATAATGTAAGTATCTTCCCAACACATGATGGGCGAAGCCACTGTTAGTGTGTGATCAGATCATATGAGTAGAGCATTATATACATATACATATACATATACATATACATATACATATATATAATTTTATTAGTTTTTAACATACCATTTTCAACAGTAATTAAACATGCTTTTTACATCTTATTCAATTTTTTTGACTTCCACCACCAGTCCTGTCTGAAAATTTTCCAATCTAATCTCTTAGTATACATTTCTTATTTTCCCTATTACATTTCAAACCCATAAGCAATATCTCTATCTTTTTCTACTTTGTAACACTTCGTATATTTCTCCTTACAAAGCTTCTTGTGGTCCTACTAGCGTAATTTGTTGATTACAGTTGCTCTTCAAGTAATTCATATACTTCTTCCAATCTTCTGTGGATCTCTGGTCCCGCAGGTTTAGAATCCTTCCTGTCATTTTGTCCAATTCTGCATAGTCCATTAATTTCGTCTGCCATTCTTCTTTTGTTGGAATTTCTTCTTGCTTCCATTTCTGGGCTACCAGTACTCTTGCCACTGTTGTTGCATATAAGAACAGTTTGACATCTTGCCTATTAATGTCTTGGCCTATAATACCAAGTAAAAATGCTTCTGGTTTTTTTAAGAATGTATATTTCAATGAAATGAGTAGAGCATTTTCAGGGCAGTGGGGTGGAGAGCAGGGACGGCTCATTCTACCTCATGCCTCCCCCCCCCCTTTGTTTGTTTGGTTTTTTAAAAAATATTTTTAATTAAATTTTCTGTTTTTACAATTTAGAATATTCATTTAAACAACCTTAAAATACTGGTGACTTCCCTTCTTCTCTTCCCATGGTTCATTTTGCATAACATAAACCCCACATATCTTATATAAACTAAACCATTCAGTATTCCATTATTACATCCATCAAAACTTATTTACATTGTTGAATTTATCTTAATGCTGCCAATGTTTTCTTTTTCTTTTAAAAGGGTTTATTAATTTTCCAATAAGAACATCTAATTAACATATCAAATCAAATCCAATAAAAATAAAAAACTAAAATAAAAATAAGTTCAATTGTCTTCCAAATTGTAATAATTTTGGTTTTGGCTTCCCACGATCTGAATTCCGAAGCGCTTTCAACACCGTAGTCCTGCCTTTTTGTTTCTTGCAGATGTAAGTTTGCAAAATGACTGATTGGGAACAGCCAGCTGTGCGGACGATGGGAGATGCTAAGGATGCTTTGCTGACGGAGGTGTGGGAAGGCAGCAGCTACAGGTGATGCTCTCTGCTAGCGATGATGCGCTTCCACCTGCGGCTGTGCGGAATGCACAAACTGGGGAGGCGGGGTGCGCAATGAAAGAAGGAACAGGGTTCAGTGTATCAGCAACAGGCTGTGCTCTGAAAACAACTGTGGGCCATTGGAATTTTGGATGGGAGCCTTCTATGATACTGATAATCTTGATCTGTCATTCTCCCATAGCAGAGTGACGAAATTGGAGAAAATCTACATCAGACATTCAAAAACCAACAAGCCTGCTATCCCAGCCTGGTTAACTCCCTAAAACTCTGATACCCCATAATTAAATACAATATACTCCCATACAGACTACCTTAGAGGTAAAGGTAAGGTACTCTGCCCGTACAGTTGCCAGTCTTGCCAGACTCTAGGTTGTGCGCTCATCTCACTCTATAGGCCTGGAGCCAGCGCTGTCCGCAGACACTTCTGGTCACGTGGCCAGCTGTGACAAGCTGCATCTGGCTGAGCCAGCGCAGCATACAGAACGCCATATTACCATTCCTGCTGGTAAGTGGTCCTTATTTATCTACTTGCACCCAGGTAGTGACTGTGAACTGTCCCTAGGTTGGCAGGCACGGTGGGACCGAACGACTGGAGCGCACCCCGCCACAGGGATTCGAACCGCTGACCAAGCGATCGGCAAGTCCTAGGCACTGAGTTTTACCCACAGCGCCACCCGCAATCCCACAGACTACCTTTACCAACGTGCTTTTAAAACCAAAACTCGCGATTTGCATAGAAACTGTTTCTCAGGCGGCTAGTCCTAGTCTTTATAACCCTGTTCCTTCTACCAGAAAGGGACGCGGGTGGTGCTGTGGTCTAAATCACAGAGCCTAGGGCTTGCCGATCAGAAGGTCGGCAGTTCGAATCCCTGTGATGGGGTGAGCTCCTGTTGCTCGGTCCCTGCTCCTGCCAACCTGAGCAGCTTCCAAAGCACGTCAAAGTGCAAGTAGAATAAACAGGTTACCACTCCGGCGGGAAGGTAAATGGTGCTTCCGTGCGCTGCTCTGGATTGCCAGAAGCGGCTTAGTCATGCTTGGCCACATGACCTGGAAGCTGTACGCGGCTCCCAGCCAGGGTGGGCGCCACTACCGAGAAGGCCCTCTGCCTGGGTCCCTGTAGCTTTGCTTCTCGCAATGAGGGAACCGCCAGAAGGCCCTCGGCGCTGGACCTCAGTGTCCGGGCAGAACGATGGGGTGGAGACGCTCCTTCAGGTATACTGGGCCGAGGCCGTTTAGGGCTTTAAAGGTCAACACCAGCACTTTGAATTGTGCTTGGAAACGTACTGGGAGCCAATGTAGGTCTTTCAAGACCGGTGTTATGTGGTCCTCGGCAGCCGCTCCGCAGTCACCAGTCCTAGCTGCCGCATTCTGGATTAGTTGTAGTTTCTGAGTCACCTTCAAAGGTAGCCCCACGTAGAGCGCATTGCAGTAGTCCAAGCGGGAGATAACTAGAGCATGCACCACTCTGGCGAGACAGTCCGCGGGCAGGTAGGGTCTCAGCCTGCGTACCAGGTGGAGTTGGTAGACAGCTGCCCTGGATACAGAATTGAATAAGAAGCAGAATCTCATATCGAAGGTATCCAAAAGGCTGAAGAAACAAAGGAGAGAAGCTCGCACCAACGGGCAGCAGAATATTCAGCATGATGAACAGGTGGGTGGATACTGAGATGTTTTGGACTACAACTCCCATCTGCCCCAGAATCCTATGGCTGTGCTGGCTGGGGCTGATGGGAGTTGTAGTCCACAGGGCACCAGGTTAGCAAAGACGGAGTTAGATGACTGCATTTCTCTTGTGTGGATGGATAAATGTTTCGTTCTAATGAGAATTTTGTCAATTATTCAATTTTGCAGTGTGAGATGGGTTCACCCCTGCTTGAATTCCCATTTGCACCTGTTTGCATTTTTGAGCCAACTTTTGGAGCTTGCTATATCAGATCTGTAGCCTGGAATGAGTGTCGCGAATGTGATGAACTCAGAAAGTTGTAGCAAAATCACAAGAAGTAGAACTAGTGGCTTAGAAAAGCGGTTTAAAGTAAAACATCTGTAAAAAGCAGCGTTTACCGAGTTTAATTTGAATATACATCAGATAAAGCATAGGTGGCTAGCTCAGCAGAAAACCAGATTGACGTTCATCCCAGTTCAGTGGTGAACAGCAGGTTTTCCCAGGGAAGGCAGTGGAGTGAAAGGAAAGCCTCTTGGACCCAGGCCTTGAATGCATGGAACATTTCAGGGCGAAAGGAAGTGTGAATGAGCCTTTGGAGTCCACAACATCTGGAAGGCAACAGGTTAATAATAATAATAATAATAATTTATTATTTATACCCCGCCCATCTGGCTGGGTTTCCCCAGCCGCTCTGGGCGGCTTCCAACTGAATATTAAAAACAATACAGCATTAAAAACTTCCCTAAACAGGGCCGCCTTCAGTTGTCTTTTAAAAGTAGAATAGTTGTTCATTACCTTGACATCTGGGAGGGCGTTCCACAGGGCAGGCGCCACCACTGAGAAGGCCCTCTGCCTGGCTCCCTGTAACCTCACTTCTCGCAGTGAGGCAACCACCAGAAGGCCCTCAGCGCTGGACCTCAGTTTCTGGGCTGGATGGTGGGAGTGGAGACGCTGCTTCAGGTATACAGGACAAGTCTAGCTGCCGCATTCTGGATTAATTGCAGTTTCCGGGTCACCTTCAAAGGTAGCCCCACATAGAGCGCATTGCAGTAGTCCAAGCAAGAGATAACCAGAGCATGCACCACTCTGGCGAGACAGTCCGCGGGCAGATAGGGTCTCAGCCTGCGTACCAGATGGAGCTGGTAAACAGCTGCCCTGGACACAGAATTGACCTGCGCCTCCATGGACAGCTGTGAGTCCAAAATGACTCCCAGGCTGCGCACCTGGTCCTTCAGGGGCACAGTTACCCCATTCAGGACCAGGGAGTCCTCCACACCAGCCCTCCCCCTGTCCCCCAAGAACAGTACTTCTGTCATGTGATAGGTTGGTTATCACATGCACTAAGTAACTGTCTTGCCGGACGATCCTGAGACGTTCTCAAAAACGAAAGCCGACAACCTCATTGCAGTGTTGCTGGGAGGGCTGAAGCAGATCACAACATTGAACACCTTGTTTGAGGGACAGAGGCAGACGAAATCTGAGCTCACCCAGCAACTGGGGGCAATGCACTGACCCCTGTTTGCAGGTAGATCTGCCCATGCCGTGAGACATTATTTGCACTGGTCTCTTGTAGTCCCGCGTCCTGGAAAAGCCAAGCAAGAAACTTCTCTTGAAGAAGAAGCCATTGCAGGAAAATACCATTTCCAGGTAAGAGGGCGTTCCACAGGGGCGTTCCACAGGGCAGGTGCCACTACCGAGAAGGCCCTCTGCCTGGTTCCCTGTAACTTGGCTTCTCTCAGTGAGGGAACCGCCAGAAGGCCCTTGGAGCTGGACCTCAGTGTCCGGGCAGAACGATGGGGGTGGAGGCGCTCCTTCAGGTCTACTGGACCGAGGCCGTCTAGGGCTTTAAAAGTCAGCACCAACACTTTGAATTGTGCTCGGAAACGTACTGGGAGCCAATGTAGGTCTTTCAAGACCGGTGTTATGTGGTCTCGGTGGCCGCATTCTGGATTAGTTGTAGTTTCCGGGTCACCTTCAAAGGTAGCCCCACGTAGAGTGCATTGCAGTAGTCCAAAGTAAGACCCCTAGATCATTTTTGTTATCAAGGCCTGGGCTTGATACCAAAACCTCACTTTTTCATCCATCCTTTTTTTATCTTCTCTTGTTTTGCTAAAAAGCAGCCTGGAGAAGACTGCTGGGAATTATATCTCAAACCAGGAAGCGGAATTTGGAGGGAACAGTGTGAAGACAAAGAAGCCGAAATGTCATCAGGTATGTTAGCCATACGTGACATTGGGAAAATAGCTGAATGTTAGCAGAGAAGTGCAATTATACTGCCAGCTAGTGTTGGGTATCTCTTGTGAGGTTTGCAAATTCACCCAAGTTTGGAAGCAAGCACACTTCTTAGTGAACATTTGGGTGCTGGGCTGCCTTACATATCTCTAATCAAAAGGGCTAGAAACTTGATTTTCAAATGGACGAATGGCTGAAAGCTGAGGACCCAAGTCACTTCAATCCTTCTGTGAGGCTGTTGCTAAAGTTTGCTTTGCTTCGCTATGTCAGACATCTTTTCCCCAAAACTTTGCGCGTTCTGTAATGGTCGTCTTCCATGAGAGGTTCAGAGGATGGCAGAACAAGAATGGGTCTTTTTTGTGGTGGCTCCCTGTCCGTGGAATGCTCTCCCCTTCACCTTCATTGGTGAAAACCAGGCGTTCTGTTGATTAATATTCTGTGATTTTAAATGTGTAGGAGGAAGGTTATTGCTTTGCTTTTGCTTTATTATGCATTATGTATTTTTCTGTTGTGAACCACCCTGGGATCAGAATCTTCAGATGAAGGGTGATATAAAAATCTAAATAATAATAATAATAATGATGATGATGTTTTATTTCAGGACAAGGCTGACTTCACCCCATCCAAAACACCCTGGGAAGAGGAAGAAAGCTCATCAAAGTGAATAGGCATTTTCTGTTCATTCCGGGGCGTTTACACACTATGTGATTATCTGCAAGGTGTCGCTGGAGGTATAAATGAAAATCAGGCTTTGATGATGATGGTAATGATAATAATAATAATAAAAATTCTACCCCCACCCATCGGGCTGGGTTTCCTCAGCCACTCTGGGCGGCTTTCACCAGAACATTAAAAACAGAATAAAACATCAAACATTAAAAACTTCCCTAAACAGAGCTGCCTTCAGATGTCTTCTAAAAGTCGGATAGTTGATTATTTCCTTGACATCTGCTGGGAGGGCGTTCCACAGGGTGGGAAAGCTACTATCACTGGATTAAGCCCATCAGTTCTTGTTGAATTAATTAAACTACATAGTTTTAATTGGATTTTTTTTGGGGGGGGGGAGTGCAATTAATTGTTTCTGTTTTGAATTCTATTATTACCTTTTTCGGTGGTTTGTGCAAGACTTCTATTCTCAATACTGCTCTTTATAGGGCAGGAAGCTGAACGCATTTAATTCCGCTTGTGATACAGCTGTAAGGTTATGGGGCAGCAGTGGGGGTGCTGGGGACAGCAGACCCAAGGCCTGGGATTTATTGCAGATTAATCCAACTTCAGTTTTTAATTAAATGGTTCCATCAGTTTTGAAAGCCTCTTTTCTAGTTTCCAGAGCCAGGCCTGTATTTAATGACCCGTTTTTAAAGAGCCTCAGCAAGGTGGACTCATTCTGTGTGTCTTCTATGTGCTGGCAAAACTAGCAGCCTGCTTCGAGCACCATAATAATAATAATAATAATAATAATAATAATAATAATAATAATAATAATTTTTATTTATATCCCGCCCTCCCCAGCCAAAGCCAGGGTCGGAGTGGCTAACAACAGTAAAAGTAACACAGTTTACATAAAATCACAATCTATTAATTGAAATACATTCTAAAATCAATTCAGAGTCAAATTAAAGGCAACCATTGGGTTCTATGAGGAACCATTGTTCTATGAGGATGACAGAAGGAGGGGGTCAGACTGTGCCTTGGCCAAAGGCCTGGTGGAACAGCTCTGTCTTGCAGGCCCTGCGGAAATATGTCAAGTCCCGCAGGGCCCTAGTCTCCTGTGACAGAGCGTTCCACCAGATCGGGGCCACGACCGAAAAAGCCCTGGCTCTGGTTATGGCCAGCCTAACCTCCCTGTGGCCCGGGACCTCCAAGATGTTTTTATTTGAAGACCGTAAGGTCCTCCGTGGGAGGGAGAGGCGGTCCTGTAGGTACGAGGGTCTTAGGCCGTATAGGGCTTTAAAGGTTAAAACCAGCACCTTAAACCTGATCCTGTACTCCACCGGGAGCCAGTGCAGCTGGTATAGCACCGGGTGAATGTGATCCCGCGGCGAGGACCCCGTAAGGAGTCTCGCCGCGGCATTCTGCACCCGCTGGAGTTACTGGGTTAGTCTCAAGGGCAGCCCCACATAGAGTGAGTTACAATAATCCAGTTTGGAGGTGACCGTCACGTGGATCACAGAGGCTAGGTCAGGGCGAGAGAGGTAAGGAGCCAATTGCTTAGCTTGGCGGAGACGAAAAAATGCCGCCTTTGTTATAGCTGCAATCTATATTGACGTTATCCGCTCAAATCAACAGAGCGATGCAGCAAGACGCTGCTGGAAATGTGTTTAAAATGTGTGGAATTCCGCCTGGAAAGGTGGACAGGGGGTGGGAACTGTGGGCTGACCCACAGGTCTGCTTCCTGGGTCCAGAGGTGTCCCTTCCGAGTGACCGCAAGGGCCTCCGTGTCAGCCATTCCACGGAGAGATGGACGGAACGAAGCGGACTGGAAGTCGGCTTGGACCAAAGGGCAGGGATGCTGCGGTTGCTAGGCAACCACTGTGCTCTCCTTTCTCCCACCATCACTGTGGCTCTGACTCCGCCACAGAGGGCTCCTTGTTAGAAAATGGAGTCAGTCCCACTTCACGCTTCCCCAGTGGCAAGTATCGCCAAAGGGGATGTGGGCATCTGGGCACCCCGGCTGGCGCTCCCTAATCCCGAGGGCCAGACTTGCTGGTGGCAAAATTGCCCTAGGGCTGCCTTTGTCAGCCTGGCAATCTCCAGGCCTTTCGTACTACAACTCCCACGGGAGTTGTAGTCTGAAACCTCTGGAGGACACCAGGTTGGCCAAGGCTAGTATGAAATCCCCTAGCCTGGTATGAAATCTTTTGGGGACTTGACATCTTTCCGCAGGGCCTGCAAGACACAGCTGTTCCGCCTGGCCTTTGGTTTGGGCTCAATCTGACCCTTATTTTTTCCCTCCCCTTATGGTTTTGATCTATGGGCTACTTTTAAAATGAGGCTGTATTTTAAATTGCATTTTAACCTGTATTTTAAATTGTCCCCCCCCCTTATGTTTTTATTGTAATTTTACTGGTGTTAGCCGCACTGAGCCCGGCTCTGGCTGGGGAGGGCGGGGTATACCGGTAAATAAATTATTATTATTCTTATTAGTGTGTTGTCTTGAAACCTTTCTTCTGTTGAACTGTAGATTGTGTAATGCATGGGTAGGCAAACTAAGGCCCAGGGGCCGGATCCGGCCCAATTGCCTTCTAAATCCGGCCCGTGGATGGTCCAGGAATCAGCGTGTGTCCTTTTATTTAAAATGCATCTCTGGGTTATTTGTGGGGCATAGGAATTCGTTCTTTTTTCTTCTTCAAAATAATCTGGCCCTCCACAAGGTCTGAGGGACAGTGGACTGGCCCCCTGATGAAAAAGTTTGCTGACCCCTGGTGTAATGCTACTGAAACGCACCTAGCGCCATGTCTTAACGGGGGCAACCTTGGGTTTTTCTCTTTTTCCAGAGGCCTGGAGAGTGCCATGGACTTTGTGACAGAGGGTAACAGCCACGGCGTTCCTCATCTGAGGTAAAGTTGTGATAAGGGATTTCGGGAGCTCAGGGAGAGAGGCATACAGGGGATGACACAATGCTCACCAATAAAAATATATAAGCACTTAGAAAGAGCAGCACTTTTTAAAGAAGTGCTTTGTGCACATGTAGCAAAGGGGGGGGGGAGGAAATCACTTAATAGATTTATTAAACCCAAGGAGAGTGCAAGCTTTGGATTTAAAAAGACGTCTTTGTTGGACCTGTTGTGCTTAGGGAAAATAAATAAGAGCAGAGATTGGAACCTAATGCTTTAAACTTTGGTGCCTTGTTTACTACATCATGCTAACTTCCATTTTTTGTTATTTTTAATTTTTTATTTGGTTTCCCCCATTAATGTTTATGTTCAAAATCACAAATAAAACAAATACACAAGATTCTCTCGAATCATTAGATTTCCCTCCACCTCTCCATGGGTTCCGTACTTTTCCTTTTCTGCTTATTTGATTATCCATTATATCCAAAGCCTTGGTTACAAGTGTTATTTAAGTCTTCCTAAAGAGTTCAGTTGTTTACAGTGGTTTCCCAAATATCATAAAAATCCCGCCCATTCTTTGCTGAAGTTTTGACCTTCCCGATTTCTGATTTCCCCGGTCATTTTTGCCACCTCTGCATAGTCCGTCAACTTGGTCTGCCATTCCACTCTGGTAGGAACATCGTGGTGGAAGAGCTTTCGGGTATGTTGAAGGGGTTGCCTGCCCAGCAAGACCCTCACTGGAAGATGCAGCACAGAATCATAGAATTGCAGAGTAGGAAGGGACCCTGAGGGTCATCCAGTCCAACCCGCTGCAATGTAGGAATCTCAATTAAGGCAGGCTGGTTTAACCATCGCCTGTGCTGTGTTTGCATTTCAGAGAAGAGCCCTTGGCCAAGAAGGTTAGGCTGGGAGCAGAGGAACGGCTGCCCGCATCCAGGGACGAAAATAAGGCAGTGAGTAGCATGGGGTTTTCTACAACAACATTTCACACCTAAGTTTCTTTATAATAATATTAATAATATTTTATTTATATCCCGTCCTCCCCAGCTGAAGCTGGGCTCAGAGCGGCCAACAACAATAAAAGCAACACAGTTAACATAAAATCACAATCAGTCAATTGAAATGCATTCTAAAATCAATTCATTCTAAAATCAATTCAAAATCAAATCAATGGAAACCATTGGGCTAGAGTTCTGTGAGGATTACCAAAGGAGGGGGTCAGGCTGTGCCTTGGCCAAAGGCCTGGAGGAACAGCTCTGTCTTGCAGGCTCTGCGGAAAGATGTCAAGTCCCGCAGGACCCTAGTCTCTTGTGACAGAGCGTTCCACCAGATCGGGGCCACCATATGGTCCACCGTGGGACATACTAGGAGAGGCGGTCCCATAGGTACGAGGGTCCTAGGCCACCTAGGGCTTTAAAGGTTAAAACCAGCACCTTGAACCTGATCCTGTACTCCACCGGGAGCCAGTGCAGCTGGTATAGCACCGGGTGAATGTGATCTCGCGACGAGGACCCTGTAAGGAGTCTTGCCGTGGCATTCTGCACCCGCTGGAGTTTCTGGGTCAGCTTCAAGGGCAGCCCCATGTAGAGTGAGTTACAATAATCAAGTTTGGAGGTGACCGTTGCGTGGATCACAGTCACACTATGCGAGAATGTAGCAGGGGTCTTGCAGATCAAACCAAAGTTCCGTCTAGTCCAGCAGATCTTGAAAGCAGGAGCCGCCCAGCGTTTTTTGTCCCCCAGCAACTGACATTCAGGGGTATTCTGCCTCTGATTGTGGAGGCTCCACAATAGCCATCAGTAGTAGATCCCTCAGCTCCATGAGATGAGCTTTTGACGAACACCGTTCTTTTCTTTTGAATATTTTTTTTATTAGGTTTTCTAAATGAGGATCAATGAATAGGCCAAGTCTTTTCACGTCATTTGTATATCACAAAAACAGCACAATAAATCTGCAGGTGTGACTGATACATTTTAGGGCTGGGTGATATATCAACATATCGTCCAAAACTGGTTTGAAGTCCAAATCTTGATATCGGTTTCATAATTTTTGACCTGGTGATATATTGCGAATCATGATGCATGTGTGCTATGCAAAAATCACGATGCGGGGAAAACCGCGATGTCAGCTGATGCCTCTGTATAGCTCCATCCTTATTTCGGACATCGTGATATATTGGCATATCACGATGTTTAAGCTGGTGATATACATCACAAAGTTGAAAACCGGATATCGCCCAGCAAAGTAATTATGCATTGTGTGAAAAAGGACTTTCTAATGCAGTCATACCTTGGTTGTTGAATGCCTTGGTACTCAGACGTTTTGGCTTTGCGAATGTTTTTCGGAGGCCAAACGTCCTCCGCAGCTTCTGATTGTGCACAGGAAGCTCCTGCAGCCAATCAGAAGCTGCGCCTTGGTTTTTGAACCGTTTTGGGCGTCGAACAGACTCCCAGAATGGATTAAGTTTGACAACCAAGGTACGACTGTATATGCCTTGCGTTGCATTGAGTTTTGGGGAGAGAAGGAACAAACTATCTCCCTATCTGCTGTCTCCAAACTGCAAGATTTTTTAAAAACTTGCCTGTATGCTTCCAAGCCTACCTTTGAGGCCCTAAGGAGTGTGGTGGAGTCTCCTTCTTTGGAGGTCTTTAAGCAGAGGCTTGACAACCATATGTCAGGAGTGCTCTGATGGTGTTTCCTGCTTGGCAGGGGGTTGGACTCGATGGCCCTTGTGGTCTCTTCCAACTCTATAATTCTATGATTCTATGATTCTAAGTTCCAGAGAAGCATGTTTGCGTGTTTTAACTGTAAAGAGATGAAAATCTCAAGGCGGCCAATTTTCCTTCCCGATTCTTCTTGTGGTTGCAGTCGCAGGACATCCGCACGGCTTTTCTTGTGGCAAACTCTTTCCCTGTTTTTCATTTTGGACAGGTCACAAGGCGGCAGGTGGAGAACACGCCGCTCTGCTTGGAAACGGGCAGCCCCTCAGCGGAGGAAAGGAAGAGGAGGAAGGAGAGGAAAGTCTCTGGTGTGAAAGCGGAGACCGAGGAGGTGGGAGAGAGTCCAGGAAGCCCCAGCAAAGCGAGGGCTCCGGAGCAGGGGAACTTGAACGGAGCAAAGGGAGTGGAGGAAAAGGTGGAGAGGGACGAGGAGGAAGGAGAGGGTGCAGGCGAAAGGGAGAAGAGCGAGGTGAAGACCGAGCAAGAGTCGGATAAAGAGATTGAGGTGCAAAAAGAGGGGGAGGCCAGGAGGAAGAAGGTCCAGGGGGAAGAGGCCTCGGAGGACGGCATGAGGGGAAAGACGGCTAATAAAGGCCGGAAAAAAGGAGCCACCTCCAAACCTGGGGGTTTGGGAGGCTCCAGGAAGAGGAAAGCGAAGGAGGAGGATGGAGGCGCGAGGAAGAAAAGGAAGAAGGAGGAGGAATGCGGGAAAGAGGACAAGTGGAAGTGGTACGTGCTGCGTTCGGTTTGGGGTCTTTGCCAATACTATTTTTGAAATTGATTTTATAAATTTCAACCCAATTATGCAGATTATTTCCAAATTTTGTTTAGGTGACGTCTTTCTGATGTGAACTGTGTTTGCTGATGCTTATTTACTTCTGGTTACTTTCCATTTTGCAAAAACGATTGCTCAGTCATCAGCTGCACTCTTGTTGTTTAGTCGTTTAGTCGTGTCCGACTTTTCATGACCCCATGGACCAGAGCACGCCAGGCACTTCTGTCTTCCACTGCCTCCCACAGTTTGGTCAAACTCATGCTGGTAGCTTCGAGAACACTGTCCAACCATCTCGTCCTCTGTCCTCCCCTTCTACTTGTGCCCTCCATCTTTCCCAACATCAGGGTCTTTTCCAAGGAGTCTTCTCTTCTCATGAGGCGGCCAAAGTCTTGGAGCCTCAGCTTCACGATCTGTCCTTCCAGGGAGCACTCAGGGTTGATTTCCTTCAGAATGGAGAGGTTTGATCTTCTTGCAGTCCATGGGACTCTCAAGAGTCTCCTCCAGCACCAGAATTCAAAAGCATCCATTCTTCGGTGATCAGCCTTCTTTATGGTCCAGCTCTCACTTCCATACATCACTACTGGGAAAACCATAGCTTTAACTATACGGACCTTTGTTGGCAAGTTGATGTCTCTGCTTTTTAAGATGCTGTCTAGGTTTGTCATTGCTGAACTCTTACTGAGTTCTATTCGTGTTATTATGGTGGGACGTGGGTGGCGCTGTGGTCTAAACCACTGAGCCTCTTGGGCTTGCCGATTGGAAGGTCGGCGGTTTGAATCCCTGCAACAGGGTGAGCTCCCGTTGCTCTGTCCCAGCTCCTGCCAACTTAGCAGTTCGAAAGCATGCCAGTGCAAATAAATAGGTACCACTGCGGCAGGAAGATAAACTGCGTTTCCGTGCGTTCTGGCACTTGTCACGGTCCTCAGTGCGTCAGAAGTGGTTTAGTCCTGCTGGCCACATGACCCGGAAAGCTCTCTGTGGACAAATGCAGGCTCCCTCGGCCTGAAAGCAAGATGAGCACCACAACCCCATAGTCGCCTTTGACTGGACTTAACTGTCCAGGGGTCCTTTACCTTTACCTATTCGCGTTATTGCATTATTTAACCTTTTTGTAAAACATCAAGTGACGATACAGTAGTCCTTTTCTTTTCTGTCTGTGTGCGTCGGGGGTCTGAGTCCAGTTGCGGGCTTCGTTGGCTTAGTGGGTCCACCGCTGCTGATCTCTTCCTCCGATGGATTTCCAACAATGGATTTCCAACCCTTGGATGGCATCAGGCTGGGGTCTGAGAGAGGCCAGGGATGCTGCTGCAAAGCGATGGGTCGGTTGGGAAAGGCTCAGGAAAGGGCAGCCCAAGCGATCGAGGTGATGGAACGGCTCCCCAGTGAAGAAAGGTTACGCCGTTTCGGATTTTTTAACTTAGAGAAAAAGCGAGTGAGAGGCAATAGAAGTTTATAAAATGATATACAGTGGTACCTCTGGATATGAACGGGATCCATTCCGGAGCCCTGTTCGCATCCTGATGCGAACACAACCCGCGTCTGCGTATGTGCAGGTCGCGATTCGCTGCTTCCGCGCATGCACGTGACGTCATTTTGACCGTCTGTGCATGCGCGAGCGGCGAAACCCGGAAGTAACGTGTTCAGTTACTTCCGGGTTGCCGCGGAGCGCAACCCGAAAACGCTCAACCTGAAGCAACTTCAACCCGAGGTATGGCTGTATGGCATGAAGAGAACAGATAGAAGTTTCTCTCTCTCTCGAACTCATGGACATGCAATGAATGTTGGACAATTCAGGACAGATGGAAGAAAGTGCTTCTTCAGCAATGCATCTGAACCCCAGTTGCTGGAAACCACAGCAAGAGGGGAGAGATGCTTTTGCGTTCGAATCCTGCTTCCGGGTTTCCCATCTGGTTGGCCCCTGTGAGAACAGGATGCTGGACCAGATGGGACACTGGCCTGATCCAGTAGATCTCTTCTTAGGTTCTTATGAGAGATGGGTATTTGGGGAGCCAGGGATGCATTTGGGTGCTAACATTTGGCCGGACAGGACGGCGGGTGGTTTAGTGAGTCCTGGGCTTGCTGGGCTCTGGGGGAGATGGGATAGGCTGCGGGGGGAGAGAAAAACAGGATTTAGAAAAGTTTCATTCAAACTTGGTCAGAAAAGTCAGTGTGATTGTTGACATTTGAGAAGCTCGACTCCTTCGCCAGATCCCATGAGTGAGGAAGCAGAAAGGATAGTGGGGAACATTTCTGGAGGGCAGCCTGCTATCCATCAATATCCTCAAAGTCATCCTTCTCATTTTATACAAGGAAGTTGGCCCTCCAATCCTCACATGCTCAGAGGAACTCTTGGTACTGCAGAGAAGTTGCAGAGTTTCCTTAGCTGCAGAGTTATAGTTTGCATATGTACGTATTGGATAGGTGCATCAAGACTTATTTGCATGGACGCACTGAATTCTTTATTTTTTATATTTTCAAACATACAAATACATACATAATTAACTAATACATCCATTGATAGCTTCTGGGGGGGGAATCAAATATTATCAAAAAATGAAAAACTATACATCTCGACGTATTCAAAAAGAAAAGAGAAAAGAGAAAAATAAAGACAAGACTAAGACAATAACAAAAATTTTACATATGTATTTTCTATTAGATACTAATTGACACGATTCAGTCCTATAGTAGCATTTCTCATAAGTAATACCTTTCCAAATGGAATGAATTTCCTTATGTATTTTACTTGTTATAGACTTCCATCTACCTCGTAATGGTTCATCTTACCTTTCAAAAAGAGATATTCCCCTGTATTTTATGTTTTATCCTCATCTTGGTATGAGGAAGCAATGTATCCCCATTTACAGAATTATTCAAGGCACAACCAAATCTTAGTAGTAGGACCTTGTTTCATTAAGTACTGAATTCTTAGCTTTCCTGTTGAATGCATGTACATCCATACCTCTTGTTACGTCCGCTTCATGTTACGTTCTTTCAGGATATGTCCCACGGTGACCCGGAAGTACCGGAAAGGGTTACTTCCGGGTTTCGCCGCTTGCACATGCGCAGATGCACAAAATGACATCATGCGCATTTGCAGAAGTGGTGAATCGCGACCTGCGCATGCACAGATGCGGGTTGCATTCTTTTCAGGTTGCGAACGGGCCTCCGGAACGGATCCCGTTCACAACCAGAGGTACCACTGTAGTATTTTTCTGGAATTCTTATTAAGATGCACAACAAACCTTTGAGCCAGTCCATCACGTATATATATCTCCCCCAACCACTGTTAAACTAAACTGGCATTGCCGATATCTTTAAAAAGCCTGTATTTTATTTTAGAGCTTTTCACATCCAGTCACCCCCCCCCACATCAGCCTATATCACTGTCCCACTAAACCTTTATCTGTTTTATCAATAATGCTAACTGATGTAGGGCTCTCAGAGCAACAGCAAGACTTGGTTAGCCCTGCATCTCTGAGCAAAGAATCCACAAAGCTTTTCCACGTTCATAGAAAGGTAAAGGACCCCTGACAGTTAAGTCCAGTCGCGGACGACTCTGGGGTTGCGGAGCTCATCTCGCTTTCAGGCTGAGGGAGCTGGCATTTGTCCGCAGACAGCTTCCGGGTCATGTGGCCAGCACGACTAAGCCGCTTCTGGCAAACCAGAGCAGCACACGGAAACGCCGTTTACCTTCCTGCCAGAGTGGTACCTATTTATCTACTTGCACTTTGACGTGCTTTCGAACTGCTAGGTTGGCAGGAGCAGGGACCGAGCAATGGGAGCTCACCCCGTTGCGGGGATTTGAACTGCCGACCTTCTGATCGGCAAGTCCTAGGCTCTGTGGTTTAACCCACAGCGCCACACCCGCATCCTTGATATGTTCTATATACTGTGGCTTAAATCTATTTGCCCACTAGGTGTCAGCATAAAGCATTCATTTCATGTTCTCAGATTTCACAGAAGCACATAAGTTGTCTTACAATCAGCATCTTGAATCATCATCAAATTGTAGAGTTGGAAGGGCCCCCCGAAGGTCCTCTAGCCCAACCCCCTGTGATGCAGGAATCCTAAAGAATCCCTGTGTTATGGAAATTACCGGGGAGGGGGCACATCTTTAAAGTTGTTAAATGTCACAAATATTATGTCTGAATGTATCCTTTCAACTTGACAGCTCAGGGAAGTTACATAGCTTTAAAAATGATATAAAATCAACTCCTTTGCCAGTTTCCTCCATTTCAAAGCTATTTTCCCCTTGAAAAAAGGACTCCGGGAAGTTTCCAGAGGTGACAATTGCTGAGCTGATTATTGGCCAAGGAAAGCCTAATCCCACCACCAGACTTGCCAAGGGGTCCACACATGCAAAGGAAGTTCTATTGTACTTTGGGTGGTGGGACTTCAGAGGTGTTTGCCTCTGGTAATCTTATACCTGGGTCTTGCCCTGACATGTCTGCTTATGCTAATCTTGTACCAAGGACTTGTCTGGACGTTTGCCAAGGTTAACCCCTCCCCTTTTGTGACATGTCAGTGATGTAGCAATGATGCTGTACGAACTGTATTCTGGAATATGGTGGGGAAGTTTTAAAAGTCACCCCATCCTCGGGGTTCAAAATTCCTCTTTGAACCTGTTGCGCAATAAACTTTGGTCTACAGCTATTTGCTCCGGTTGGTGGCTGGACTCCTTCCTTTATTCCGCAGGGACCCGCGGGCTCTGCCCGACCAGCTGGGTGACTGAGCAGCCTCGCACCTAGATTTTTCCGTAACATCCAGCCTCTGCTTAAAAACCTCCAAGGAAGAACAGCCCATCACTTTCCACTGCCAAATAGCTCTTACATTCAGACAGTTCTTCCTAATGTTTAGTCACAATCTCCTTTCTTGGTTTTTTTATCCATCAGTTTGGGTCCTGCCCTCTGGAGCAGGAGAAGACAAGCTTACTCCATCTTAATTTCAGGGTTGTGCGTCCAAGCCCCATGTTGGGCAAAAGATTCCTGCATTACGGGGGGCGGGGTTGGACTAGATGATCCTTGCGGGTCCCTTCCAACTCTGTGAGTCTGTTATCATCAAACATTTATAGTTTTAGATTTAGAAGTTTGGATTGGATTGATTGACTGATTGATTGATAGGCTGGGGCTGAAATCCTACAGGCACTTACTTGAGAGTAGTAAGCCCTTTTGCACCCAGTGGAACTTACTTCTGAGTAAGCTTCCAACCAAGTCAGTTGCTGACTTTGTACTCGTACTTGCTAAGATTAGGCCTGCCATATGTCTTTTTTAAAAAAAATAATTTAAATTGATTTTTCCATATTTAATTACATTTCATTGCACAGATCTATAACATAAAGCATTGCTCCAACAAGAGCATCGACTTCCCTCCCTCCCTCTTTCTGACTTCCCAACATCTTTTAACAAATTCTTCCCATTTCTATAGCAAGTTTTTTACCTTATATCGTCTTCTTATTTTTTAAATCACCTCCTTATATGTAAATCAGTTCCATATTTTCTCATCACAAAGCATTTCAATTCAAACCTACAAACGTTTTCAAATGTTTACAATTTTCTTTCATATAAAATATAAATTTGCTCCAGTCCTTCTGAAACAGTTCGTCTCGCCGATTCCGGATCTTCCCCATCAGCTTTGCCATCTCCACATATTCTACCATCTTTATCTGCCGTTCCTCCAGTGTAGGAAGTTCCTGCTGCTTCCATTTCTGGGCCAGGAGTATCCTTTAGGCTTGCCATATGTCAGGAAAATTCTCAACAACGCGGTGTAAAAAGCAGCAGAAGCAGCTGAAAAGTCTTAAAACCACTATTTTTGGGTTAGGTTCCCCCCCTTCAAAAAAACCCCTAGCTAAGACCCCACTTTTGTTGAGATCAGGTCACTTATTTAAATAGTATTAATGCAAGATTTCTCAAATGTTTCCTTCTGTACTGTGCAAAAACAAACAAAGAAAAATACCTATAAAGACAATTACAAACCAACTTAATTAAAAACTTTTTTTCCAAAATAATATTTTAAGAAAAAGAAACGTAACTGGCATTGCGCATAGTAGATGGGAGTTGGAGTCTAAAAACATCTGCCAGAGCATCTTCTTAGAGAAGGCTGGGTCACCAAACTTCTCCACCAAAAATCCTCCCAAACTAGCAAGCAACCCTCTAATGTTGCTCCTGTCTCTTTAAATGAATCTGGCGGGTAGGAAAGTCTGCCTAGCAACCGCTTTGCTTGCGTCACGTGGCGAGCTAGGCAGATGTTAAGCGCCCGGAACTACATTTCCCATCATCCCTCAGCGCTCTGGCATTGTGGGTAGCCAGGACTGCTGATCAAAACATGCCTGCCTTTTTATTATTTAATAAAAAGAGTGCATTGTTGTCCTTAATGATTATGATGATTATTTTGGAAAGCATGCATGGAAACACATGCATTTAATTTTTGCTGCTTTTGTAACTCTTGTCTTAAGAGGGCTGGGGGGAGAGCAAAGCAGTTCCAGGTGGAAGGTCGTGCAGGAGTGACACACAGCTGTTGCCATGTGGCTGGGCTGCGGGATGCGCTGCAAGATCTTCTTAGCAGGCAAGGAGGCATAGCAGGATCAGGCTTTAGCAGATTTGACATGCCCGGCATCCTGGAATGCTTAAGCATGTGCTTACACTGGCTCCATGGGCATCATGCCCATTCCATGCCCAGATCCCTCCAGCAGCCCTCCAACGCGTCCTGACATTTAATGCCATGCGGTTTCACGCAGCGTGCAGGAATGCGAAGACCTCGAGGATCAGGTATGAGAGATTTGCAGCAGCAGCAGCAATAATAATAATAATAATAATAATAATAATTAACTGCAATAATGGCCTCGCAGAATAAGAGGAAACTCGGCACTCAGAAAGCAAGCAAAGAAGGGGCAATATCTAAAGAATATTTAAAACGGTGCTGTGAAAAATGCAAATCTCCTGGCAGGTGTAGACTGAATCTTGAACGTTAAAGGGAATCGTAAACGTAAAAATTGTTCCCGGTATGTAATAGATATAATAGGAAGTGTGTATAGGAATAGAGTACATATATTTAGAAAGCACAATGAGGTGATTCGGAAGTCAAAGATATGTGTGGTGTTAGATGATGTGTTGTCAATTAATGTTTAGTTGTCATTGTGGTATTTTGTGTTGTATGTTTTGCAGTAATAATAATAATAATAATAAACATAAACAAACTGCAACCCCAAACCCACTTATTTATCACAAAGTGCCAACATGGCAATTTAACCTGTATATCTCATTTTTTTTCTGTGTGTTTCATGTTTCTTCTTTATGACTGCTGTTGTAATAAATAGTAATCCTTCATTTTAAAAAAATAGCCTCGTGCATTTAGGGTGGAGGCGGGTGAGGAAGTTTCCTAGGAAACTATGTTCTTGCGGGGTGTGGTTTGGGGCAAAGATTTTTTTTAAAAAATCATTTTATAACGTATATTTTTTTCATCTCGTGAAATTTATGTATGGCTTGGTTGTGTTGTGGGGGGAGGAAACCCTCCAAGCAGGTTGCAAAAGGATAACACAGTAAAAATGTACGACATAATTTAACAGAAAGCTAAAAGCACCACAGAATAGACTGGGTAGAATTCCTGTGTTGATTCCTGTGTTTCTGGGGGTTGGACTAGATGACTCTTAGGATCCCCTTCAAACTCTACAAATTCATGAAAATATAACTCATACGAGCTTTGCAATGCTTTGTTTCGTTCTTTTATATTTGATGGAAGCTGGGTAACCCAGTCAGATGGACGGGGTACAACAAATTATTAATATTAATATTTATATTTATTACCTCTCCGGAACTTGTCACTGATTTTTTGGGAGCTTCTATAATTGACTTTTATTTTTCTTACTTGACCATCCAGTCCTATTCTCACAGTGGCCAAACAGGTCTAATTTCATTTTGCATTCTCTCAAAGGAGTCCATCACAACAAGCTGTGCAGCTGCAAAACAATACGATTAAAAATAAAACCTGTTAACTAAAGCTGTAAAGTACATCTGAAAACAGTGAAAAGTAGAGACATACACACTTGATTGCTTCCAGGTTACCAGGGACATTGTCTCTCAGCCTTTAGATGCCTGGGTGGCCAGGAGAGTTTTAAAATTCCTCTTCAGTGTTAATGATGAGGATAGACAAGTGCTCGTGCCCCGCAAGGGCATTCCAGAAAGAGGGAGCCACCTCAAAGAAGGCCCTGCCATGGGCAACAGGGCAGCCATTGCAAACTTTGTAAATTTCACATTTTGCAAACAAGTTCTCTATTGCATGAGTAACTAAAATGATGGCTTCATCCGTGGAAATGAAATAAAGATAAATAAAATAATGGGCCCATCCGTTGGCACTTTGGAAATAAATAACATTTGGTGGTAGATTTGGAAAATAAAATAAGATAATGGGTCCATTGTTTTATTTGGAGATAATAATAATAATTATTATTTATTATTTGTACCTCGCCCATCTGGCTGGGTTTCCTCAGCCACTCTGGACTGCTTCCAACAAAAATTAAAAATACATTAAAATGTCACACATCAAACCTTCCCTGAACAGGCCTTCAGATGCCTTCTAAATGTCAGGTAGTTGTTTATTTCTTTGACATCTCATGAGAGGGCGTTCCACAGGGTGGGCGCCACCACCAAGAAGGCCCTCTGCCTGGTTCCCTATAACTTGGCTTCTCGCAGTGAGGGATCCGCCACAAGGCCCTCGGCGCTGGACCTCAGTCTCCAGGCAGAACGATGGGGGTGGAGATGCTCCTTCAGGTATACTTGGCCGAGGCCATTTAGGGCTTTAAAGGTCAGCACCAACACTTTGAATTGTGTAATGGGTCCGTAATAATGGTCTGCAGTCTCAAATGATGGCTCTGTAAGAATGGGACCATTAAATTTAGGATATAAATAAAATAATGAGTCTACCCGTCTGTAGGAAAGCCTGGGCTGAGCTTAACTCTTGCATCTTTCCCTAAAATAAAATAAATAATAATAATCAGATTTTCAAATACGAGAAACAAATCCGTCCGAGTTAACTTTGAGCAGAAAGGGGAAATGTCATCCTTGGTTCTTTGTCCTCTTTTGCTCTCGCCAGGTGGGAAGAGGAACAGCATGCGAACGGCGTGAAGTGGCAGCAGCTGGAGCACAGGGGTCCGTACTTTGCGCCGCCCTACGAACGGCTGCCGCGTGGAGTCAGCTTCTATTACAACGGTGGGTGGTCTTTCCTTTCATTTTTTGGAGTGGGCTGCAAAGTCCGTGGCTTCCCTGAAGTCACCCTGAGTGACAGGGGGCTGGGATGAGAGAAGGAGATGGGACAACAACCCACTCAGGATTGGTGCGACCGTGTGGTTGTGTTAGAATTCCTGCTCCGTGGTTGCAGTCATGGGATTGTTGTCTTTCACATGACGGTGTATGTTTTGACTCCACAGAGTGGGAAGTGACGGAGACAGGATGTTTGTGTTAGTGTGTTCCGTGAAGTGGGACTATTGTCCTTTGTCCTTTTTCTCTTTGCAGTCTGATGCTAGAGAGAGAGGGAGCCATGTTGCAGTACTCTGTGTGTTTATATGCAAATAAAGTAGATTAGCCAAAATGCTGAGTTGCTGAGGTCTGTTACGCAAGATACGCAAACTCTGCGGGTCCCTAAGTGTGCCGATGTCTGTTGGCATCGGTCGCTGTGATGTTCGGGCAGAAGAAAGCTTTTGAAGCTCCCGAATGAATGACCAGGAGGGAGGAACATGCCAGTCTCGGGCATGTGTCTCTGCCAGGGTCCTACTCGAGTGTAGGCCGAACTCCTGACAGGCTGTAGCCTGTGGCTTGAAGAGGAGGAGAGTAAGAGAAAACCTGCCAGCGATCAGATGCTCATCCTTTGACCCTCTCCAAGTTAACCAAGTTGGATATATTTGTTCCCTGACTGTCTGCGCTAAGCAACCCCTTAATCTCTGGAATTTAGGGACATGGGGGCAACTGTGGGTTAAACCACAGAGCCTAGGACTTGCCAATCAGAAGAACGGCGGTTCGAATCCCCGCAACGGGGTGAGCTCCCGTTGCTCGGTCCCTGCTCCTGCCAACCTAGCAGTTCGAAAGCACAAAGTACAAGTAGATAAATAAGTACCGCTCCAGCGGGAAGGTAAACACCGTTTCCGTGCGCTGCTCTGGTTCGCCAGAAGCGGCTTAGTTGTGCTGGCCACATGACCCAGAAGCTGTACGCCGGCTCCCTCGGCCAATAAAGCGAGATGAGCGCCGCAACCCCAGAGTCGGCCACGACTGGACCTAATGGTCAGGGGTCTCTTTACCTTTACCTAGATGTCCTTTTTATTGTGCAATCGTGACGGTTTGTGCTCATGATGATAATGGGGCGGTTATATGTAATTGATGCTGTTACCTCCTGCAAGAGTTTCGGGATACTGCTTCCTTTTCAATCAGTGCGCATCCTAGAGCTCCCTGCTGAAATCCTGCAACTTTTGGTTCCAATAAATGTTCCGGGTGAGGGTATTTTTTGTAGCGCTTTGGTAGTGTCATAGCGCAAGATGCGCCCCCCCTCCCAAGGCGGCAATAATGCCGTAATATGGTGGAATCGTTGCAGAGCAAAAACAGAATGATGTGTGGACAGTCCAGTATAAATCCACCATGAATGATTTCATCAATAGCATGTTTCAGACTGTACCTGCAATGCCCCAACCCCCCCCCCCGACTGAAAGGGCCTTTATTTACTGGCATAGGCAAACCTCTATGCTGGACAGGTTGTTGTAGGAAACAGGCAATGGTTGAATGGCAAGGTCTTGGGCAAACGTCAACTAAAACAAACTTAGTTTTTGGTAAAGGTTTTTCAGTCTCAACAGTTAACCACATCTGCAGGGGGTCATAAAAACATAAGAAGAGTCTGCCGGATTAGTCCAAAAGCAAATCTGGTGCAAACAGATGCTCTTCAGAAGCCTCTTTTAGCATGGCAACACCTGTCCTTTGGAACTCCCTGCCTCTTGATAATAATAATAATAATAAAATTTTATTTATATCCCTCCCTCCCCAGCCGAAGCCGGGCTCAGAGCGGCTAACAACAATAAAAGTAGCACAGCATTCTAAAATCAATTCATTTTAAAATCAATTCAAAATCAAATTAATGGCAGCCATTGGGCTAGAGTGATGTTAGACAGGCACCCTTGCTTCACTATTTCAAGCACCTACGGGAAACTTTTTAAAAAAAATTATATTAGCAAGCCTTCCCAAACATGTTATTTAGTTATCTGTATTTGCTTTGAAAACGTTGCTGGTTTTTATCTGTGCATTACTTAGAATGATTTTATGTACTTTGCTTAGAGATCGGTTTTGTCTCTAGGACAAAAAATAAATCAACCTTTTTACAACTCAAAAGCGGAACGCAAAATGGCTAAAACAGTTTTGTTTCTTCCTGCCGGGCCACTGTTGTTCTTTCCAGGCAAGCCTATGAAACTCAGCCCGGCGACGGAGGAGATAGCCACGTTCTATGCGAAGATGCTTGATCACGACTACACGAGAAAGGCGATTTTCAAGAAGAATTTTTTCTGTGACTGGACAGAGGTATTTGCCTGTGGCTTCCAGGGGAGGGGGGGGGCGTGGCTCAGTGGCTGAAAGACCCAGGATCAGTGCAGGTGAGGCTGGCAACTAGAACCCTGGGAAGCTGTTGCCCGTCAGTGTAGACAAAAGAAGGCTTAATGGGCCAGTGGGAAGCTTTTTGTGCTCCTGGTAACTGCCCCACAGGAGGTCAGTTATGACCCAAAAGTGTCCAAGAGGGCTCAACAAGCCTTTTAAGTGGAGATCTTTATCTCAGTCTATCTATATTGGATTTGAAATCTGTTTTACCTTTGTAATCGCTTTTAATCCTTTGTATCTGTGGAATTGCTTGTAATCATTTGTCGATGTGGAATCGTTTTTATTGCTAAATTGCTTTAATTTAAAGGTTGAATTTAAATTAAAGCAATTTAGCAATAAATAAATTGAGGTTGAATCCTGACAAGACAGAAGTACTGTTTTTGGGGGACAGGAGGCGGGCAGGTGTGGAGGATTCCCTGGTCCTGAATGGGGTAAATGTGCCCTTGAAGGACAAGGTGCGCAGCCTGGGAGTCATTTTGGACTCACAGCTGTCCATGGAGGCACAGGTCAAATCTGTGTCCAGGGCAGCTGTTTACCAGCTCCATCTGGTACGCAGGCTGAGACCCTATCTGCCTGCGGACTGCCTCACCAGAGTGGTGCATGCTCTGGTTATCTCCCGCTTGGATTACTGCAATGCGCTCTACGTGGGGCTACCTTTGAAGGTGACCCGGAAACCACAACTAATCCAGAACGCGGCAGCTAGACTGGTGACTGGGAGCGGCCGCAGAGACCACATAACACCGGTCTTGAAAGACCTACATTGGCTCCCAGTACGTTTCCGAGCACAATTCAAAGTGTTGGTGCTGACCTTTAAAGCCCTAAACGGCCTTGGTCCAGTATATCTGAAGGAGCGTCTCCACCCCCATCGTTCTACCCGGACACTGAGGTCCAGCACTGAGGGCCTTCTGGCGGTTCCCTCACTGCGAGAAGCCAAGTTACAGGGAACCAGGCAGAGGGCCTTCTCGGTAGTGGCGCCTTCCCTGTGGAACACCCTCCCACCAGATGTCAAAGAGAACAACAACTACCAGGCTTTTAGAAGACATCTGAAGGCAGCCCTGTTTCGGGAAGCTTTTAATGTTTGATGTATTATAGTATTTTAATATTTTTTTGGAAGCCGCCCAGAGTGGCCGGGGAAGCCCAGCCAGATGGGCGGGGTATAAATAATAAATTATTATTATTATTATTATTATTAAGATGCTTTACATGAAGTTATTCGTAGCTGGAATCAAATAGGTTTAGCTGCTCTTCCTGCATTGCAGTCTACGACTATGTAAAATCAAACATTAAATAAGTAACAGCAACGATCAGAAATGAGCACAAGACAGGAAGGTCCCAGGAACTTGGAAAGTCCTGGGACCATATACAGTGGTACCTCTGGTTGTGAACGGGATCCGTTCTGGAAGCCCGTTCGCAACCTCAGAGGAATGCAACCCGCGTCTGCGCATGCGCAGGTCGCGATTCTCCGCTTCTGCGCATGCACGTGACAGCATTTTGAGCGTCTGCGCATGCCCGAGCGGCGAAACCCGGAAGTAACCCGTTCTGTTACTTCCGGATCGCCACGGGACGCAACCTGAAAAGATTTAACCTGAAGCGTCTTTAACCCGAGGTATGACCGTACTTGCATTTTACTGACATTCTAGACACATTTTTTGTTGTCGTCGTTGTATCAGGCTAATTTCCGGCCGGCCTTGAGACGTCCCTCAGATGCATAAGAAAATAATTGCAATCTTGATGGCTCAGAGCAAAGTATTGTGTTTCTGGCAGTATTCGGTCCAGTCCCTCTGGGAATCAGGCAGGCAAGGGGATGAGGGTGGTGAGCAGGGCCTTGTGGTTCATCCGCCTCAACTGGTACTTTGGAGGTAGACTACCTCCAACTTGGAGGCTCCACTGAAGAGCCACTACCAGCCATTTTGGGTGTTCCTGAGCTAGGTAAAGGTAAAAAAAAAAGTTAAAGGACCCCTGGACATTTAAGTCCAGTCAAATGCAACTATGGGGTTGCAGCGCTCATCTCGCTTTCAGGCCGAGGGAGCCGGCGTTTGTCCACAGACAGCTTTCCGGGTCATGTGGCCGGCAGGACTAAACCTCTTCTGGTGCAACAGAACACTGTGACGAGTGCCAGAGCGCACGGAAATGCCGTTTACCTTCCTGCCACAGTGGTATCTATCTATCTACTTGCACTGGTGTGCTTTCGAACTGCTAGATTGGCAGGAGCTGGGGCAGAGCAACAGGAGCTCACTCCATCGTGGGGACTCGAACCGCCAACCTTCCGATCGGCAAGCCCAAGAGGCTCCGTGGTTTAGAGCACAGCGCCACCCGCGTCCCTAGACAGACACGTGAATCTGCGGGACGCAGCTAATTGGGGTTCTCCGTTGGGTGATGGCAGGCGTTATTGACGATAATCTCATGGCTCATGTGCCTTATTTCTTGGTGTGACAGGCAGCTTTAGAACTCAAACCTCTGCTTCCTTGATTTCCTATAGCAGATGACGTCGGAGGAGAGGAAGAAGATCAAGCAGCTTGACAAATGCGACTTCAGAGAGATTCACGAATATTTTGTGGAGAGACAGGAAGCTCAGAAAGCTCTGCCAAAGGAGGAAAAGCAGGTTCAGACGCGCCTCTGCTAGCTGATAAAACCCAAGGCCTCCTTCACCACCAACTGCAATCATAGATTTGTGATTTCCACCTAACTTAAGGGAACAGTTTGCCCCAGATGCACCCATTCAACCACATTATTATTATTATTATTATTATTACTCAACCACTTTGTTCAGTGGAACTTTTGCAAGTGCCTCAAAATGTCCGTTTTCAGGAGTTGATCTTTTACTGTGGCAGCATTTGGAACTCCCTGCCTCTTGACATTGGGCAGGCTGCCTGTATGGATTTTGTATTTCAGGAAGCCTTCCCAGATATATAATTTAGTTACTTATAGTTGTTTTAAAACCTCGATCTGCATTTAAACCATAATTTATTTTATGCGTACAGTGGTACCTTGGTTCTCAAACTTAATCCGTTCCAGAAGTCCGTTCCAAAACCAAAGCGTTCCAAAACCAAGGCGCGCTTTCCCATAGAAAATAATGCAAAATGGATTAATCTGTTCCAGACTTTTAAAAACAACCCCTAAACTAGCAGTTTAACATGATTTTTACTATCTAACAAGACCATTGATCCATAAAATGAAAGCAATAAAGCAGCGGTTCTCAACCTGTGGGTCCCCAGAGGTTGTTGGACTACAACTCCCATCATCCCTGAGCTCTGGCCTTGCAAACTAGGGGTGATGGGAGTTGTAGTTCAACAACATCTGGGGACCCACAGGATGTGAAATTCTGCAATAAACAGTGTACTGCGGTCACACAATCAGTCCACCAGTAGCTGGACTGGGTTCCACACAGTCACAAAAAAAGAGCCGCAAAAACAAAACGCAAAATAAATAGGAAAGATAGACAGACCTCAGCGTAACACTCAAAACAGAAGCATAACCTTCAAAATGGAGCAGTTCGGCTTCTGAAAAAAGTTCGCAAACCAGAACACTTACTTCCGGGTTTGCAGTGTTTGGGTTCCAAGTTGTTTGAGAACCAAGGTACCACTGTACATGTATTTAATGGCTCTGCGTTGCCTGCAGTTTGATCATGTGACCAGCTGAGATACCTCTGTGACAAAGCGGTTTATTAACTCTTTCTAACTCATTGAAATCAAAATGAATAGTCTTGCAGGTTCGGCTATTGCACATACGTTCAACATGGGCTAGCCTTAGCAAACACTTGAAGGCTGTACAGTTAGTCTACCCCCAGAAGGTGGGGACAGGCTGTAATAATAATAATAATAATAATAATAATAATAATAATAATAATTTTATTATTTATACCCCCCCATCTTCCTCTACCATTATCAAAGCCTGACTTAAAACTATCGGAATAACACCTGGTTTCGCACATTAATTTACCTCTCATTCTTATTCCTTTTGCCCTTTTTTTAAAACCCAGAAATTGAAAAACGAAGCAGAAAGAATACAAGAGGAATACGGTTACTGCACGATTGACGGGCACCGGGAGAAGATTGGCAACTTCAAGACGGAGCCGCCGGGTCTTTTCCGAGGCCGTGGGGACCACCCGAAGATGGGGAGGGTCAAGAAGAGGATAATGCCCGAAGATGTCATCATAAACTGTAGCAAGTGGGTGACTGGGTCATAGAAGGGCGACTCTGTTTGGCTCAAAGGGGGGTTCATCTCTTGAGGAGCAAAGACAGAGAGGCCTGTTTCAAACTTCTTTCAATATTGCATTTTTTAAATTTATTGCTGGAACCTGCCCTGGCGAAAGTCAGGAAAGAAATTACCGTATTTTTCGCTCTATAAGACGCACCAGACCACAAGAAGCACCTAGTTTTTGGAGGAGAAAAACAAGAAAAAAAATATTCTGAATCTCAGAAGCCAGAACAGCAAGAGGGATCGCTGTGCAGTGAAAGCAGCAATCCCTCTTGCTGTTCTGGCTTCTGGGATAGCTGTGCAGCCTGCATTCGCTCCATAAGACGCACACACATTTCCCCATACTTTTTAGGAGGGAAAAAGTGAGTCTTATAGAGCAAAAATACGGTAAATAAAGGGAATACATAAGGAGACATAGACCCATGGACACAGTCCAACCCCCTGTGTCCCACTCTCAGTGGCGCCCACCCTGTGGAACCAGGGCCGTCTTTACCTGGGGGTGCAAGGGGTGCGGGGCACCCAGGCACCAGATTCTGGGGGGGGGGGGTGCCCCTCAATCGGCGGCAGTGAAAAGCAATGGAGCAAAAGTTCCCGCCCTCCTCCTCCATTGCTCTGTTACTCCGTAGTGTCAAATATTCCCTACGAGTCAGGAAACAAAAGCAGCCTTTTCCGCTGCGTCAATGTTACAGGTGAGTGATCTTTGGCTTTCCCCCTCCTTTATTGGAAGGAGAAAAATAACAATTCCCTTAATAACAATTTAAACAATTTATTTAACTAAAACAATAACATTATAGCATATGTATCCATGGTTGTAAACTGATGTGGTTAAACTTTTTTTTTTTAAAACTTAGACTGAGTTTTAGCACACATGAAAAATTTAAAACAAATCCTTATTTCCTGATGAGTAGTCCTTGGACTACAATGTAACTTAAATAGAAAACTATCTTTAGAAAGATTTTTCTTCCGAAAGCATTTTATTTTCAAAATCCAATTTAAATTAAAAAAACCACACCCTGATTTTAAAAAATAATAATCTGATTTAAATTTAAAAAAAATTGATTTTTATCCACCCTGATTTCCGATTCCTTGTAAAGGAGTCCAGGGAACTCAGTTGTTTGGTCGCTTATACGAACAAAACGCATATTTTTGCCATCCAGATTGTGATGTTTCCTGTTCTGCTTTCTGATATCTTAACCTTTCCCCCCTCCTCTCACTCCCTCTTTTTTTGGCCAGGGGTTCCAAGATCCCAAAACCCCCTCCCGGGCACAAGTGGAAGGAAGTTCGGTGTGACAATAGCGTGACCTGGCTAGCGTCGTGGACGGAGAACATTAATGGGGCCATAAAGTACATTATGTTGAACCCCAGTTCCAAGTTGAAGGTGAGAGACAGGGGCAGGCGTTCCCTTCGGGAGTACAGTAGACCCTCCGGATACGATTAAATTCGTTCCAGGGGCCCGTACTTAACCTGAAAAGTCCTTAACTGGAGGCGCCGCTTTTATGCACGCGTGCGGTGCACAGAAAGGGATGTGGGTGGCGCTGTGGGTTAAACCACAGAGCCTAGGACTTGCCGATCAGAAGGTCGGCGGTTCGAATCCCTGCGATGGGGTGAGCTCCCGTTGCTCAGTCCCTACTCTGGCTGACCTAGCAATTTGAAAGCACGTCAAAGTGCAAGTAGATAAATAGGTACCACTCCGGCAGGAAGGTAAACTGCGTTTCCATGCGCTGCTCTGGTTTCGCCAGAAGCGGCTTAGTCATGCTGGCCACATGACCCGGAAGCTGTACGCCGGCTCCCTCGGCCAGTAAAGCGAGATGAGCGCCGCAACCCCAGAGTCGGTCACAACTGGACCTAATGGTCAGGGGTCCCTTTACCTTTACCTGCGGTGCGCAGAGCGCTTCTGCGCATTCGCATGATGCAAAACCCGGAAGTATAGACTTGTATCCGGTTCTGCTTCTCTTTCCAGGGGGAGAAGGACTGGCAGAAATACGAAATTGCTCGCTGCTTGAAAGGGGTGGTGGGCAAGATCCGTGCTCAGTACCGGGCGGACTGGAAATCAAAGGAGATGAAGAAGCGGCAGAGATCCGTGGCCCTTTATTTCATCGACAAGGTAAGGGCTGCTTTCTGGCGCAGGGAATATCGCTCTTAAAGCCGGTTGCGAATATAGTCATACCTCATGTTACGTTTGCTTCAGGTTGAGCGTTTTCAGGTTGCGTCCCGCGGTGACCCGGAAGTAGCAGAACGGGTGACTTCCAGGTTTCACAACTCACGCATGCGCAGACGGGCAAAATGACGTCATGCGCAGAAGTGGTGAATCGCGACCCGCACACGCGCAGACACGGGTTGCGTTCTGTTCAGGTTGCGAACGGGCCTCCGGAACGGATCCCGTTCGCAACCAGAGGTACCACTTTATTCCTTTCTAGTAACAATAACAATTTCCCCAGCCACTCTGGGCAGCTCCCAACAGAATATTAAAAACACGATAAAACATCAAAAATTTAAAACTTCGCTAAACAGGGCAGCCTTCAGATGTCCTCTAAAAGTCAGGTAGTTACTTATTTTCTGGACATCTGATGGGAGGGCGTTCCACAGTGAGGAAGCACCAGAGGTTTCTGCTCTCACAGCTGCAACAGCGGCGTTGGAAGGGGTTCCTTAGCGGTGTCACCCATCTGCCCCCCCTGCAATGCAAGATGGAAGCAGTGTTTTGGAGAGAGCCTGCGTCTGACTCCCCCCGCTCCCCCCATGGCTCTGAGATCCAGCGCCGATAGCCTTCTGGTGGTTCCCTCATTGCGAGAAGCGAGGTTACAGGGAACCAGGCAGAAGGCCTTCTCGGTGGTGGCGCCCACCCTGTGGAACGCCCTCCCATCAGATGTCAAGGAAATAAACAACTACCAGACTTTTAGAAGACATCTGAAGGCAGCCCTGTTCAGGGAAGTTTTTAATATTTAATGCTGTATTGTTTTTAACACTCGATTGGGAGCTGCCCAGAGTGGCTGGGGAAACTCAGCCAGTTGGGCGGGGTATAAATAATAAATTGTTATTATAAATTATTATTGTGTCCCTCCCCAGCTGGCCCTGAGAGCGGGGAATGAAAAGGAGGAAGGGGAGACGGCGGATACGGTGGGCTGCTGCTCCCTCCGCGTCGAGCACCTGAGGCTTCACCCTCGGATGGACGGGAAGGAGAACGTGGTGGAGTTTGACTTCCTGGGCAAGGACTGCATTCGCTACTACAACCTGGTGCCTGTGGAGAAGCAGGTGAGAGAGAGGCAGCGTTGCTGGAGAGGAGGGATGCAAGCAGTTCCTTGGGTCAGTGGGCACCATTCTCCCTCTGCAACAGAACCAATTAATAATCATAGTTATAATCATAATAATCATAATCATAATTTATTATTTGTACCCCGCCCATCTGACTGGGTTTCCCCAGCCACTCTGGGTGGCTTCCAAGTAAGATTAAAAATACATTAAAATGTTACACGTTAAAAACTCCCCTGAACAGGGAATTATTTTTCGCTCCATAAGCCGCACTTTTTTCCTCCTAAAAAGTAAGGGGAAATGTCTGTGCATCCTATGGAGCGAATGCCTATGGATAGCGGTGGGATCCTGCTGCAGGATCCATGGTTCCCCTTCCTTCCCTCCTCCGTGGCTCGCTTTGAAGCAGCAAAGCGGGAGAGGAGCCTCTTACATGGGTGTAAGCGGCTCCTGTCTGGTTGGCTGCTTTAAAGTGAGCGTGCTCTCTTTCATTTCTTCCTCCCTGGCTCAGCTCCGCGAAAAGCTCCTTTTCCACACACCCCACGTGTGCTCCCTGCCCCTTCAGTGCTTTTCCTTCCCTCCCCACTTAAAACGTGATTACAAAGCACGGATCCACATGGATCCTCAGGATTTTTGCATTGGGTCACCCCAATTTCACCATCAGATCACATCGCATGTCCATGGCTACAGCCTGCACCGAAAAAATCACGCACCCACTGTTGCCCGGGGCCGCAATGGCGCAGAAACGTGGTTACAAAGCACGGATCCACATGGATCCTCAGGATTTTTGCATTGGGTCACCCCAAATTCACCACCAGATCACACGTCTGTGGCCACAGCATGAACCACAAAAATCATACATCCACTGTTTCATTCAGAATATTTTTTTTCTTGTTTTCCTCCTCTAAACTAGGTGCGTCTTATGGAACAAAAAAGACGGTAACAGCTTGCTGAACCAAAAACAGGTGGTTGTTGGTGCGATTAGTGTTATTAAGTTTATAACCCAGCCTTCCTCCTGAAGGGGACCCAGGGCAGAAAACACACAGGCGATAAATAAGAATTTAATTTTTAATTTATATACTGCCCTTTATCAATAGATCCCAGGACAGTTTATAACTTTAAAAGCACATTACAGAACGTCAATGATAAAAAATGATAATAAAAAGCATACTGAGAGATAGCCTAGTAATAAAATAGATAAAGCAGTTACAGCATCTAAAGCCATCTGTAATACAGATGCCGAAAGTTATCTCCTTAAAAGTCCCGTTGAAAGGCCAGCTCTTTGCAGCTTCCCAGCAGTGAAAATGACAGAGAGTTGTCCTTGCTCATTTTGGGGAATTGTGAATTTGACTTTCCTTTGAGGCGTTTGAAGCTACAACAGTGTTCCCAGAAAGCCCGTCCTCTTTTTAAAAAAAATAATAATCTTATTTTTGTTCTTTAAATTTCCCTGGAGGACACACAAAAAGACATTATGAAAACCTGTATTCCTCTACATAGAAAAGGTAAAGGGACCCCTGACCATTAGGTCCAGTCATGACCGACTCTGGGGTTGCGGTGCTCACCTCGCTTTATTGGCTGAGGGAGCCGGCATACTTCTTCCGGGTCATGTGGCCAGCATGACTAAGCCACTTCTGGCGAACCAGAGCAGCGCATGGAAACGCCATTTACCTTCCCGCCAGAGTGGTACCTATTTATCTACTTGCACTTTGACGTGCTTTCGAACTGCTAGGTTGGCAGGAGCAGGGACCGAGCAATGGGAGCTCACCCCGTTGCGGGGATTTGAACCACCAACCTTCCGATCGGCAAGCCCTAGGCTCTGTGGTTTAACCCACAGCGCCACCCACGTCCCTTATTCCTCTACATACACCACAACTTATAAGAGAGACGCTATATGTGCTTTTCCTTGTTTATTTGCTTGTTTTGTAACAAAAGAAAATCCTGAATAAAACCTCTAAAAAAAAATCAGTTTACATCTATAAAGAATGCCCTTATTAAGCGATCCACGAGTTAGTATCAACCTTTGGAACTGGCCTTTGGGCTTCTGGAGAATTTGTAAATGAAGTAAAGCTCCAGTGATTTCCTGCAAAGATATATTTGGCTTTTATCCCTCTTGCCAGCCTTTACTTGTGAGTGGCTTTGCTTACTCCTGCCATTCTCCTGAGCTGACCTTGCTCTCAGAATTTCCATCTTGATCATTGCAGGTGTTCAAGAATTTGCAGCTGTTCATGGAGAACAAAGGACCCGGGGACGATCTTTTCGACAGGCTGTCTGTAAGTTTGGGCTGACCTTCACAGATGTTTCAATCCTGGGTATTTTTGAATGGCCAGATTCTCCAGGCAATAGCAGAGGAAGAAAAGCAATGAGAAACCTAGACAGCATCTTAAAAAGCAGAGACATCACCTTGCCAACAAAGGTCCGTATAGTTAAAGCTCTGGTTTTCCCAGTAGTGATGTATGGAAGTGAGAGCTGGACCATCAAGAAGGCTGATCGCCAAAGAATGGATGCTTTTGAATTCTGGTGCTGGAGGAGACTCTTGAGAGTCCCATGGACTGCAAGAAGATCAAACCTATCCATTCTGAAGGAAATCAGCCCTGAGTGCTCACTGGAAGGACAGATCCTGAAGCTGAGGCTCCAATACTTTGGCCACCTCATGAGAAGAGAAGAGTCCCTGGAAAAGACCCTGATGTTGGGAAAGATGGAGGGCCCAAGGAGAAGGGGACGACAGAGGACGAGATGGTTGGACAGTGTTCTCAAAGCTACCAGCATGAGTTTGACCAAAGTGTGGGAGGCAGTAGAAGACAGGAGTGCCTGGCGTGCTCTGGTCCGTGGGGTCACGAAGAGTCGGACACGACTAAATGACTAAACAACAACAACAAGTACCCCTGACCGTGGGGGCAGTGCAAAAGCTAACAGGACCAGTGGTCAGGGATGATGGGAATTGTAGTCCCAAAACAGCTGGAGGGCCAAGTTTGGTGATGCCTGACTTAGCAACAACCCCATTTTCACTGCTGTGAGTTCCTTAAGTGGACTTCCCCTGCCTTCTCCCCCCCAAACTTCCTTTCCTGAATAAAAAACGTGCACCCCACCACCGAGACCATTCCATTGTAACCATCCAACCTCCCAGAATTTCAACACCTCTTGCGATGGTTTCACCCCTTTCTGTTTTTAACAGTACAAATTCTACAGACACCCTCCGTATCTCCTCAAAATAATTTCTTCTGCGTATTCCCCGTCTTACCTTAATGGCACATGTTAATTTATCATTATAGCTATATCCCAAACGTCTTTGTACCATTCCTCCATTTTATATTCTGCTTGCCCTGGCTTATAAGAATTTGTGCAGCTGTCGATAAATTTGGGAGCCTGCGAACCTTCCACACCCATCGTAAATTGATAATAATGCTACCTCTGGACTTTTGGCCGGGACGTTTTTATTCTTATTTATTTATGATTATTACTTTGTCAATTAACTAACTAACTAACTAACTAACTAACTAACTTCCTTTCCTTTCCAGACCTCAACCCTGAACAAACATCTCCAGGACCTGATGGAAGGTTTGACAGCCAAGGTCTTCAGGACCTACAATGCCTCCATCACCCTGCAAGAGCAGCTGGATGCCCTGACAAATGGTAAACGGGCTCAGGGCAAATTTTTCTGCTGCACAGGCTGGATTTAATTCCAGCAAGACTCTGCAGGGTCTCTAGAATAGCAGTAGTTAGTAACGGTAATAATAATACCCCACCCGTCTGGCTGGGTCGTCCAGAAAACAGTGGATGCTCAGGTTGCGAACATGATCCATGCGGGATGCACATTCGCAACCCGCATCTGCGCACGCACGGGTTGCAATTCAGCGCTTCTGCACATGTGCAAGGCGCAATTTAGCGCTTCTGCGCATGCGTGACCGCCGAAACCCGGAAGCAACCCGTTGCGGTACTTCCGGGTTTCGGTGGTCCGTAACCTGAAAAAACACAACCTGAAGTGCCTGTAACCCAAGATATGACTGTAAATACTAATACAGTGGCACCTTGGATTTCAAACGCTTTGGGTTACAAACACTTTGGGTTACAAACTCCTCTAACTCGGAAGTAGTACCTCGGGTTGAGAACTTTGCCCCAGGATGGGAACGGAAATCGCATGGTGGCAGGCACCATTAGCGAAAGTGCGCCTCAGGTTAAGAATGGTTTCGGGTTAAGAACGGACCTCCGGAACAAATTAAGTTCGTAACCCGAGGTACCACTGTACACACATTTTTGAGATGGGAGGGAGATGTGCTCCTGTTCCAAATGCGGAATGCAACGTCAAATCCCTCTTGAATTTTGGTGGTGTTCAAGTTTAGGAGAATGTAAGAAGGGTCTGGCTGCAGGATCAGGCCAAGGTCCTATCGGATCCATTCTCCTGTCCTCACCGTAGCCAAGCAGATGTGTCTGGGAAGCCCCCAAGCAGGGTTTGAGCACAAGATCACTTTTCCCCGCTTGCGTTTCCAGGAACTAGCCTTTAGGAACATTCCTGCTGCAACAGTCAAGGCAGAATGTAGCTGTTGTGACTAGGAGATGTTGAGAACTTTATCCTCTGTGAAGGCCACAAGGGGAGAGATCTTACGATCCCTAGTGACTAGGTGATACCTGGTTTTCAACATCGCGATATATCACCAGCTAAACATTGTGATATATCACGAGGTCTGAAATAAGGATGAAGCCATGTTGAAGCATTGGCTGGCTTCACGGTTTTCCCCACATTGTGATTTTTGCAGAGCACACACACACACACACACACCATGATTTGCAATATATTGGCAGGTCAGATGTTTAGAAAATGTTATCGCGATACGGACTTCAAACCAGTTTGGGATGATATGTCGATATATTGCCCGGCCCTACGAGCAACTGGTATTCAGAGGTGCAAGAGGGTGGGGTCTGTTGTCAGAAACTGGGAGAGCCCCCAGCATAGATGGGGAAGATCGCACCCTTACCCCCTGTAGCTGCAAGTCAGTGTTGGCTATGCTGGGATGGAGGGGCTACCGGTCTTATCAGAAAAGTTCATGTGTTCCTATGAATGCTTGCATTTGCAACGAGGCTGGTGCCTGGTGCAATCGTGCTGGCTCCTGATAGCCCCTGTGTCAGAAATACAGATAAAGGTAAAGGGACCCCTGACCATTAGGTCCAGTCGTGGCCGACTCTGGGGTTGCGGCGCTCTTCTCGCTTTATTGGCCGAGGGAGCCGGTGTACAGCTTCCGGGTCATGTGGCCAGCATGACTAAGCCGCTTCTGGCGAACCAGAGCAGCGCACAGAAACGCCATTTACCTTCCCGCCGGAGTGGTACCTATTTATCTACTTGCACTTTGACGTGCTTTTGAACTGCTAGGTGGGCAGGAGCAGGGGCCGAGCAACGGAAGCTCACCCCGTCGCTGGGATTCGAACCGCCGACCTTCTGATCGGCAAGCCCTAGGCTCTGTGGTTTAACCCACAGCGCCACCCGAGTCCCTACAGAAACACAGATACACCTACACAAATCCCACCTCAGCCTTGCCTTTTGGTTCCTGACAGAGGACGACAACGTGGCTGCCAAGCTCCTCTCCTACAACCGAGCCAACCGCGCAGTCGCCATCCTTTGCAACCACCAGCGGGCAACTCCAAAAACCTTCGAGAAGTCCATGCAAAACCTCCAGGCTAAGGTAACCCAGCAGAGGGGGGGCGCTGAGATTATCCAAGGGCTTATCTCCATCTGTTTTGCTGATCCAGCCCTCCTCCTGATCTTCTTGCACAAAGCTTTCTGGTGCGCTGTTGGGGCTGAACAGCTGGGTGGCTAATAATAATAATAATCATAATTTATTTCTACCCCGTGCATCTGGCCACTCTGGGCAGCTCCCAATAGAATATTAAAAACATCATAAAATTAAAAACATCACAAAACATTCAAACATTAAAAACTTCCCTAAAGAGGGCTGCCTTCAGATGTCTTCTAAAAGTCGGATAGTTGTTTATTTCCTTGACATCTAATGGGAGGGGTTTCCCCAGCCACTCTGGGTGGCTTCCAACAAACACATTAAAAACTTCCCTGAACAGGGCTGCCTTCAGATGTCTTCCGAATGTCAGGTAGTTGTTTTTCTCTTTGACATCTGATGGGAGGGCGTTCCACAGAGCGGGCACCACCACCGAGAAGGCCCTCTGCCTGGTTCCCTGTAACCTCACTTCTTGCAGCGAGGGAACCACCAGAAGGCCCTCGGCGCTGGACCTCAGTGTCTGGGTTGAATGATGGAGGTGGAGACTCTCCTTCAGGTATGCTGGACCGAGGCCGTTTAGGGCTTTAAAGGTCAGCACCAACACTTTGAATTGTGCTCGGAAATGTACTGGGAGCCAACATAGGTCTTTCAGGACCGGTGTTATGTGGTCTCGGTGGCCGCTCCCAGTCACCAGTCTAGCTGCCGCATTCTGGATTAATTGCCGTTTCCGGTTCGTCTTCAAAGGTAGCCCCACATAGAGCGCATTGCAATAGCCCAAGCGGGAGATAACCAGAGCATGCACCACTCTGGCGAGACAGTTAAGCTGGATGCAAGACAGGAATGCGGAGAAGAACTTGTAGCCCATCCACACTTGCCTACAAAGACAAGACCTGAACCCACCATGCTTTTTGCCGTTCCAGATCAATGTCAAAAGGGACCAATTGTGCGATGCAAAGCTGGAGCTCAAGAAGGCGAAGGCAGATTGCAGAAGTAAAAGGGATGTGAAATTTAAAGCGTGAGTGAAGCCGGTTCCTTTTGTGTCCTGGGTTGTCCTTTCAATTAACTGTTAGGAGGTTCATCATAGAAGTGGCATGCGGGGAACTAATTTAGTATGGTTCTTTTTCCCATATGCAGGTGCTTGCAGGGTAACCTTGGCAAAGCGGTCACTTATGCGATAAAAAACATTATATGCTAGAGTTGTCTGTCCCTAATAATAATAATAATAATAATAATTTATTAATACCCCGCCCATCTGGCTGGGTTTTTCCAGCCACTCTGGGCGTCTTCCAACAAAATACTAAAATACAATAACCTATTAAACATTAAAAGCTTCCCTAAACAGGGCTTTCTTCAGATGTCTTCTAAAAGTTTGGTAGTTACTTGTTTTATGAATACCCTCTCCTTTTCATCTATCTATCAATCAATCAATCAATCAATCAATCTTTATTACGGTCCAGAGACCCAACAAATCGTTACAAAGCAATGCACATCGCTTCATCTATCCCAGATTGGCTGCCAGCCAAACTCACTGTGCAAAATGTTACAAACCTCTTGCCATGTCTTAATTTCACAGACTTCTTCGCGTGTCCTGTCAGTTGCCTTTTAAAACTAGAAAGTTGTTTTATTTTTGTAAATTCCTTTGGGGTGGCGGTGGCGGTTTGCCTTTACAATTAAGCTGTATATAAGTTTTGTTAAATAAATAAACAGCCAAGCAGCCTGAAATATTAGACTATAGCAGGCATAGGCAAACTCGGCCCTCCAGCTGTTTTGGGACTACAACTCCCATCACCCCTAGCTAACAGGACCAGTGGTCAGGGATGATGGGAATTGTAGTTCCAAAACAGCTGGCGGGCCGAGTTTGCCTATGCCTGGACTACAGGGACAGAGGGCACAGTCGGAATGTGAATAAGGAAACCTGCCAAGCTATTCTGGTAGCGAACCATGAGGACTAACGGCTTGCTTTGTCGGTCCCTGTTGCGTTCTCACGTGCGCAGTGCCTCTCTTCCGAACCAGGGCTTTAGAAAAGAAGCAGAAGCACGTAGAGAAGTTGGAAGAGCAGCTGGAGAAGCTGGTCCTGCAAGCCACGGACAAAGAGGAGAACAAGCAGATCGCTCTGGGCACCTCCAAGCTGAATTACCTGGACCCGCGCATCAGTGTGGCCTGGTGGGTTGACGTGCCTGGGGAAGGACGGTCCTGCTGTGTGTTTGGTGCAAAAGCGGAAGCCCGGTCATGATTGCTAGGATTTGCCTGCCCTCCACCCTAAAGTCCCAGGGTTGCAACAATTAAAACGCAATATTAAAAATCGTTTGGAACAGCATACGGTCACAGGATCCTGAAAACATACACCTCAAAGGCCAGGGCAAAGAGGTGCATTTTCAGCATCCTCCGGAAGCTGTACAATGAAGGTGCCAGGCACAATTCTGTGGGGAGGGAGTTGCACAGCTTAGGGGCCACCACAGAGAAGGCCCTGTCCCCCTGGGCCACCACCCTCTGAGTCTCTGAGGGTGGAGGAACTACCAAGAGGGCCTCCTCTCCCGATCTCAGCACCTGAGAGGGTCCGTAGGGAAGGAGGCGGCCCTTCAGTTATTCCGGACCTGAGTTATTTGGGGCTTCAAACACCCATACAAGCATCTTGAACTGGGCCCGGAAATTAACTCCCAACCACTGCAGCTCTTTTCAAAGCAGGGGGTTGCTGAACCCAAAGCCCAAGAAGCCCGGCTTTGATACCAAAAAGGCGCCCTGACATGCTTTTTCTGCCCACAGGTGTAAAAGGTTTTGCGTGCCCATTGAGAAGATTTTTAACAAGACCCAGAGGGAAAAGTTTGCGTGGGCGATAGATATGGCAGACGAAGATTTTGTATTCTGAGGAGATCCCGGCTACCTCATTTTCGTGCCTTCGTTGTGACCCCGTTTTTCTTTTCTTTTGCAAGCAAAAAATGCATCTCTAAAGGAAGGAGTGGTGCCTGTGTTTTGTGCAAAAAGGTCTAAGATGGGGAGCCAAATTGCCAGTCTCTTCTGGGGGGCTCTGTGGCTGCAACAGGGGGCTCTTTGGTCCTTTCTGCAGCACAGATTTAAACTGATTTCCCCCACTCGTGGCTCCCTCTCCTCCTCAAAAGACCTTAGCAGATCCAGTCGAACCTCTGTTGTCAAACATAATCCGCTCTGGAAGCCCATCCGACTTCCGAAATGTTTGATAACCAAGGCTCGGCTTCCGATTGGTTGCAGGAGCTTCCTGCACTCAGCCGAAGCCGTGTTGGACGTTTGGCTTCTGAAAAACGTTTGAAAACCGGAGCATTTACTTTCGGGTTTTTGGCATTCTGAAACAGAGGCGTTCAGGGTCCAAGGTTTGACTGTACAGTTCTGCAGTGGGGACGAGGTGTGTCTGTAAACATGAAAAAAATAATAATCATCATCATCCCAGGGTTATTTGAGGGAAGCCATTATGATTTAAGCCAATTCATGCTTTGATACAGTAAAGGTATCTCTAGCCTTTGTACAGGTGAAACTTGAAAAATTAGAATATCATGGAAAAGTTCATTTATTTCAGTAATTCATCTTAAAAGGTGAAACTAATATATGAGAGAGACTCACGACATGCAAAGCAAGATATGTCAAGCCTTTATTTGTTAATTGTGATGATTATGTACAGCTGATGAAAACCCCAAATTAACAATCTCAGAAAATTAGAATATTGTGAAAAGGTGCAGTAGCTATTCAACCTATAACACCTGCAATGGGTTCCTGAGCCTTTAAATGGTCTCTCAGTCATCACAATTATAACAAATAAAGGCTTGACATATCTCGCTTTGCATGTCATGAGTCTATCTCATATATTAGTTTCACCTTTTAAGTTGAATTACTGAAATAAATGAACTTTTCCACGATATTCTAATTTTTCGAGTTTCACGTGTATTTTGCCTGACTTTATGAGATGGTCAGGTCATTGCGAGAGTAAAAGTGTGCTTTTACCATTTTGCTTAGACTATGGTTGTGGTTGTTGCAATAAATTTGGGGGGTTCTGAATGTGGGAGTCACAAGCAGCCTCACATCTCCAACCTTTTTAAAGGGTGCATAGCCTACCCCCCTTTTTTTAAAATGAAGGAACACTAAAGCTGGCCAGAAATAGTGCAGGGACTGTTTTCTGAAAGAAGACTCTGGCGAAAACTTTGGTTAGGTTTTCCTAATCCAGTCTGTGCCCTCTGTATCAGAGACGCTCTTCATCCCATGCCTTGCTTCACGAATTTTGCAAGTTTGGGAATCTCTGGCTGTGCTTTGAAAGCTCCTGGGTCCTGTTAGGGCAGGGGTCAGTAAACTTTTTCAGCAGGGGGCCAGTCCACTGTCCCTCAGACCTTGTGGGGGGCCGGACTATATTTTGGAAAAAAAATATGAACAAATTCCTGTGCCCCACAAATAACCCAGAGATGCATTTTAAATAAAAGCACACATTCTACTCATGTAAAAACACCAGGCAGGCCCCACAAATAACCCAGAGATGCATTTTAAATAAAAGCACACATTCTACTCATGTAAAAACACCAGGCAGGCCCCACAAATAACCCAGAGATGCATTTTAAATAAAAGGGCATATTCTACCCATGTAAAAACACACTGATTCCCGGACCATCCGCGGGAAGGCGATTGGCCCCCGGACCTTAGTTTGCCTACCCATGTGTTAGGGAATACGTTGAAGCAAGCAACTGTATCTGTAGTCAAAAGAGTCTAGGCGTTTGGGCAAAGATGGAGAGCAGACAGGTGAGTACTTCGAAACAACAAATTTCCGCCAAAACCCACAGGAAGAAATGCCCAAATCGCAACCTACTGCACCAGAAGGCAGGAGAAGTTATGTTTATGAAAAAGTTGGGAAAACGCCACCATTACCTGCCGGAGCATTTGGTAGCTGTCACCTGAAATCACACAAGAACCTTTGGTTTACGCTATGTACTGACAAACCTACAGCACTTGGTTCAGTTTCAGTGTAATCATTGTGGTTTGATTTAAGAAGGCATCCTTGTTCAGAAAATTCCTGTTTGCAGGCGCAACGTAAGCCGTGAAATTGGGGTTGGGGGGGAACAGCGTGATTTCACAGGTTTGTGCTGTCGGTCTGGAGTGGAAGTTTATCCATGAAAAGAACTCTTAAATAATATTTCAAAGTTATCGCGGTGGGTGGTTCAAAGATTTCTACTGGAAGAATGATACTACTACGCCACAATCCTGATAAAAATGCTTCTAGTTTGCTTGTATTCCTACAAATTGAGAGTGGTGCGGTGCTACAAATGGATTTTTGTTTCCATACAAAATGGTAACTGGTGCTTTTTGCCACACATGAACCAAACACGCCTGTAACGCAATTCCGGCTTCTCAGAAGTGCTCTGGAGTCTAGTATTTTTCTAAAATCACATTCAAGAAACTCAGGTCCTTGGGCGATGGATTGTTTACGGCTTGTTTGATGTTAAGTTGCCTGGAAAGCTGTTCATTCAAATATGAGTATTTTTGTCTATGACAGACTTCGGGTTTTTCAAATGTGTGTGCTGAAAACAAAGGTGGGAGCAACTTGCTTCAAAATCTTACATTTCTTTGGTTTCCATCAATACTTTTTGCCTTATTTGGGTGTCGAGTCTCCTTGAGTGTCAGTAAACTCTCTCCCCAGTTTAGAGCCCTTCATGGGGTTGTGCGTGAAAATTAAAAGCAGGAAGCTTGTTCTATGTGTAAAAATTAAATTTAAAAACCCAGCAAGTCAGGTAATAATAATAATAATAATAATAATAATAGAAAAAACACATGGGACATTTTTTTAAATAACCCAAACATGTTGACATTGACTGGAATGAAGAAAAAAAGAAAACTGCAGTGACAAAAACCAATAGATTTCGAGGAATTTATTTTTTGTACCAGGTGATCTTTATTTACAGAACCAAAAATTGGCTGGAATTTGGGAGCGCTGTTTACCACTGTGCCAGTGGCAACAAACTAGGAGAATTCCATTGTAAGTCTACTTCTGTGTAAATTCTGCGGCCGTGAAGCTTACTGGGTGACTTTGGGACAGTCACTTGCTCTCAGCCTATCCTACCTTGCAGGGAGGTTGTTGTGGGGACTGAATAGGGAGGGGAAGAACCTGTCAACATGCAGAGGGCCGGGAGGCCAGCTGGCAAGCCCCAGCTGTGCCGTCTCCATCCATCAGCCCGTGCTGCGACGTAAATCAGCGACCCGGGCTTCAAAGCCAGGGCACACTATCAGCAGAGAGAACTGCGAGCACAGAATAGGTGTGAGGCTTGTGGAAGCATACTACAACTACAGATTTATTAATCATAAATCAGGGCAAAGAAACATGTCTCTCTCGTGCATAGCTGTCAACTTACAGATTTGAAAATACGGGATCAGCAGCCAAAATTAGTGATTTCATTTCCCCCCACCATGTGCCCCAGCTCCAGACAGACCTTTTCCCTGGCAAGGGTGAGTGGGCCGTCGATGATGTATCCATCCGTTTCTGAGCACAGGTATGTTCAACTTCTGAGCCCCTCCGAGCCAAAGGCAGAAAGCCCAGCCAGCAGCCAAACGAAGCCTCAAGCGGTGGTTCCCACAGCGCCGCAACCCGGCAAAGGGGATGCAGCAAGGAAAACCACCGTCACCTCTCCACTCGGAAGCGCTGAGCAAAGGCGAGTCCCCAGGCAACACGGCCGATTTGATTGGCACAAGGCATGCAAGCTCCACCCCCCAGTCGTTCTTAGACTCCTTATTGGGTGAGCAACGCAGCCAAGCAACACAGTTGGAGCCTCCCTCCTCCCTGGCTGTCAGGGAGGGAGGGAGAGGAGCTGCTTCCTTTGAAACCCGGGAAATTTAAGGGACATCATCAATAAGGGACAGCAGCAGGACACGGCGCTGGGATAAGGGAGTTTCCCGCCAAATAAGGGACAGTTGACAGCTATGCTCTCGTGTCGTCTCAGAGAGAATGGGAAAAGCAAAAGCAATACAACGGAAGTTCCCAGCATACTGTGCTGGAATGTAAACAGACATGTGACACGTAACAATCCCATGTCTGTTCCTTACGGTGGAATGGAAATGTCAACACAACCATGAGTGCCACGTTGAGTTCCTTGGGGGGGGCCAAAGGTGGGATATTAATGCAATAAATACATGTAGCTATATCAATTCATAGACACACACAAACACATTGCAAAGAGCAGAAATGTGCCCTGCAGCCTGAGTGGGACCTGATTCTACTTGAGACCGGTCCCTGGTCATTATGGTCGACACAAAGCTCTGAGCAATTCCCTTCTCCATGATGTTGCCTTTGAGGGAAGCACACAGAGAGGCAACCTGAGAAGGGGCCTTTTCAGTGGTGGCCCCGTACTTGTGCATGCACTCCCCAGGGCAACATGCCGGTTCCCCCATTGTCAGTTGTGAGGCAGCAGACAAAACCCACAGGCCTTCGGCCTTTGATTTGCAGGTGAACCAGTTATGCCCTCAGCCTCTGTCCTGGCTCCTCATTTTTTTCCTTTTCCTTTTTTTATTGGAAATCGTTTTTATTTGATTTTACAAATATAAATTTATAACAAAACCAAATGCATATAAAGAGATTACGGTACTCTGAATCTCAAGACTCCCCCCCCCATTCCCCTCCATAGGTCCTACTGTCAACTTTTGCAACTGCTCTTCATAATCTATATTTTCCATCTCTACATATTGTCCATAGTATTTGTTACATTACACGTGAGATTAAAATCCTGCTAATGTTTTCATCTGCTTATAGCGCTCTCCTATATAAATTATAATCCCCCCCCCCAATCTTTCTTGGAAATTTTTTGAATTCTTGGTTCCTGAGCTTTCCAGTCAGTTTTGCCATTTCGGAGTAGTTTTGCCATTTCTCTC